TTTAGGTCGGGTTTATAACAAGTCGGGTTACATTCGGGTTGGGTGAAAAATCAGTCGGGTTTAATTTGGGGTTTCTCGGGTTAAAACAAGTTAGGGTAATTTTTGGGTTCGAGTCTGGTTCGATTCAAGTCAATAATTTGCGGGTTAGAATCAGGTCGGGTTATTCTCGGGTTTGAGTCGGGTTTGGTTCAAGTCAATAATTTGCGGGTTATAATCAGGTCGGGTCATTCTCAGGTTCAAGACGGGTTCAGTTCAAGTCAATATTTTGCGTGTTATAATCAGGTTGGGTCATTTCCAAGTCGGGTCATTCTTGGAGTCAAGTCGGGTTATGTTCAAGTCAATAATTTGCACGTTACAATCAAGTGGGGTCATTTTCAAGTCAGATTATATTCGAGTTCAACTAACTATAAATATATTAATTACGGAGTATTTTTTTTTTTATCAAGCTAATTATTGCCTTTGACTATAATATATATGGCAATATACTTGGGAATTATAGTTTATAATTTAGGAAGATAATTATCTCCTTTGGCCATACAACAAATATATACTATATTTAACTCTTAAATTTGAGGATGATGCTCCTTTCTTTTACTAGCCTGGATCGACTTGGTCTCCCTAGATAAAATGATTTGATCAACAATAATAAGGTGGTCTAAATTATATTTAAGGTGATTGAAATCGGGTTGGGAACATTTTGGGTTGAATTTAGGTCGGGTCAATAACAAGTCGTACGTGTTGATTTTGAGTCGGGTTAGTAACAGACCGGGTTTAATTTTTGGGTCGGGTTAGTAATAGGTCTGGTAAAATTCGGGTCGGGTCAATAACAAGTCGAGTTGAATTTGGGTCAGGTCAATAATAAGTCGGGTTGATTTCGGGTCGTGTTTGTAACAGGTTGGGTTAAATTCAGGTCGGGTTAGGAACAGGTCGGGTTCCCGACCTGAATTTAGGTCAGGTTAGTAACAAGTCGGGTTGAATTCGGGTTTTGATGGGTCAAAACTTGTATGGGTCAATTTCGGTTCAAGTCGGGTTTGATTCAGGTCAATAATTTACGGGTTACATTCGGGTCGGGTCATCTCCAGGTCAGTTCATGTTCGGATTGGGTCTCACATACTCGGGTCAACTCGGGTATAGAGTTGGTTTCATGTCGGGTCAGGTTAGGTTTGGGTCACCATTTATCGGGTTCAGATGGGTCGGTTAATAATCCGGTTTGAGTCGGTATTTCGGATCGGGTCAACTTTTGACGGCTCTAGTCATATTGTCAATATCATCTTTCATCATTTTGTGTATGAAGTATTATCTGTTTAATTAATCTTCCTAATGCGATCATCTACTAGTTCAGTGTATGACATTATGCTGAATACATATTATACCTTGTCATTTTACTAGTAAGGAATTGTATCAAGATCCGACTTGAGGTATAGTAGTCATTTATTGATTGCATACCTTTAAGAGAGATTGTTCTTTGCAATCTTAATTTGGAACTAGAGGAATGACACTGAGGTGTAGAAAGCTACACAAATCTTATGTAATGCATAAAAGATATGGAGCATTATTAAAGATATAGGTGAAATGATCCTTTTAACAAACGAACATATTTTATTAATGAGATGCCAGAAGATCATATGATTCTCTATTTGTACAAAATCTTCTGACAAAAGGATTAGTACCTTATTTATTAAATTATCGATATTACATTAATCTAAGATAAAGTAACTAGCCTTTTCAAGATCATATGTTGATGCAAGTAAAATAATCCGGATTAATAATCATAATAATAGAGATTTAAAGTTAAAAACCAAACTTTGAGAAGAGAAGACTCCCTAGAAAATGGAGTGTTTAATCTTGAAAGATGAGAATTAATTAGGACAAATATTCCCTAAATTTTACTGCGGTCAAGGTTGTAGTTTTGTAGAGATTACTAGAATTATGTCGGCTCTTATTTAGAGATAGATGCTGTTTTTGTTGTTGCCAAGCGTTTGGGATTTTCTACAGCATTACTTTATACAGTACTCCGTACCAACTACTGCATACTACTAGTATACTTGTATGTAATGTAGAACCTAGAACGTATACATATAGTATTTGAATAAAAAATCATATACATTCAGATATAAAATGCATCTAATTGTATTTTTTGCTCTTTTGATAATTGATACAAAGGTATTAAATCATCATACAAGTGAAACATACCATTAGGTACATCCATGCTCCTGCTTGTACACAAAAATCTACTCCCTCAATCCTTAAATTACATTCCTATTTCTAGCATTTATTCTTCACATAATAGAGGAAAACAAGAATGTATTTTAGAGACGAAGGGAGTATTGTATTTAGAAAGCAACTAAAAATACAAGGGCTAGCTAGCTTCAAGTGTTGTGCACAAATTTGTGAAAATACTACTCCGTACTATATTTTTATGTTATTTACTTGAGGAATCAAGAATGATATTCATGTTTGTTAACAAATACTGTAATAAGCCCATATTGTGAAGTAGTGATTGCCAATTCAAAAGAAGACATGTTCATAAACCGTAAAGACAATACAAATTGACTAAACACAAGATCTAACCATCTAATAAACTAGAACATTCATAGTTCTTTAGCAAACAATTATGTTAGGTGACTTACAGCCTGTTCTCATACGTGGAAATTCAGTTTAGTTCAGTTCAGCTCCTAATTTCCTTCTCTTATAAAATATTCATTTCATTTCAGTTCAATTCATTTTAGTTCAATTCAGTTCAAGTTCAAATTCAGTTCATCTGAGTTCAGTTAATGAGAACAAACCCTTAGTTAACTAGCTACATTATTATGGAGTACTCCGTAAGAGACATCATTTACACATATACACCTTGATCATTATTTACACAATTATTGCAAAAACCTCTAGTGAAACCATTTCATTTCGCAAAAACCTTTGGTGAAACTATTTTATTTATGGGTAATGCTATATGTAGCCCTAAAGGCTATATATAAGCATTAAATATACTCTTGGAAATTGTATAATATTAGGATTTCATGACAAAAACACGCGTAAATCAGTGTAATTAGTATTTATATTGTTATGATTTCTTAACTTTTTACGATTTTCAAGTGTAAATTTAATGCTTATATGTAGGCCTAAGGGCTATGTTTAACATTTTCCTTTATTTAAAAATTGAACTTTAAGTTTAGCACTCATCAATTATTACCCCGTTAATTTTTAATTTCAATAGAAAACTTTTATTGTCTCATAAATAATATTCTCTCTGTCCCCGATTGATAGTCAATTTTGCCATTTTTGATGACTCAAAATGTTAGTCCCATTTGCTTTTTTCAAGTACCATTAGTATTATTTTTTACCAAAATTCTCTAACATTTGCAAAAATATTTGTGCAAATTTAACTTTCCATGTAAATTTTACTTTCGGATGTACTTTAATTACTTTCTCTCTACCTTTTTGCATACCTAATGTAAATTTATTTTTTCAATATACTTTCTTTATTTCTCCTTAATTCCCGTGATTTTTTTTTAGTAAAAGTGACTAGCAATGGGGGGACGAAGGGAATACGAAGTACGGAGTATTTTTTTTTATTTAAATAAAGAAGTAAAAATTAACAGAAATACTCGTACAAATTTATACGGTGTTCCACTCAAAATCAAAATACGAGTAATTTTATTTCATGCTGTAAATAAAGGAGGGTTAAAATCTGACAAGATGTGGTGTGGTTCACTGTAACATGCACATGGGGATGGCTGCTGTGTTTGTTTCTGAATCTCCATATTTCTGACAATTTTTATAATTTCTCTTTCTTCTTCTTTTTTTTTCACTCCTTTGACTTCCAATCCCATCACAACCTTGCTTTCCTTGACCATTTTTATTTTGACTCTCTCCCTCATTTTATTTATTTATTTGTAACGCTCCAAAAATTATAAAGATCAACATGCATGCATATGCAATGCATTTCTCATTTTCTCCATCCCCTTTAATTATTTTGGGAATATGAAAACTTTACTTTTTAATAATTTTGTACTACGGACTACTGAATAGATGTTGATTGATAATAGCTGGGTAAAAAAGATGACATTGTTAATAATTAATAACACAAAAGTAACCATAATCAGAGTTTGAGGGTACAGGACTGTTTTTTAGCACAACTATAGTAATTTTATGTGCATTCACATTTAAATATGTGTTTAATCCTTTTTATACTTGAACTTATTTCGTTTGATTGGATGTATCAATGCGGCAATGCCAACATAAATTATTTCATTTGATAATTTGATTGATTAATCTATACGTAGTAATACTTATGATTTTTTAGTTGCGACTTCGGAGTATTATTGAGAGATTTAAAATATTTTAAAGTTACAACTAAAAAATTAATCGGAAGTAGTATTAAAAAAAAAAAAAAAAAAAAAGAATAAGGACAGTGACTAAAGAGTTTAACTATCTTATAAAACTAAAAGCTTGATTTTTGTAAAGTATTGTTACTTTTCCTTCCATTAAAATTTTATTTTTACATTACCTTGTGTTACAAAAATTCAAATGGCCTTACAAAAAGCTAAGACCTCTGTGAAATGGACATATACAGAGCAATGGTCCACAAGAAGATGGACCATATGGGCTGGGCCAAGTGAATTACAAGTTGGGCTCAAAGCATTTACACAAGCAAGCTCAACGTAAAATTAGTACGATTACTTACACAAAAGAAGAGGACTATACGATATTGTAGGGTCAACACCAAAAAGAAAGGAAAAAAAAATAAAGTGAGAATAGAGATCAAGGGAAAAGTCCAAAAAAATTGAATATCATTTATTTATTTTATTTATTTTCTTTTGAGTGTGAAATTATAATTTCCAATTCCAAAAAATTGATGCCTTTTGAGGGAGACAGACAAGCATAAGGACCATTCTAGAATGATGAAACTAGAAAAAAAAAAAGCTTTACTCTCAAAAGTCAATATAAAAAGCGATGCATCATTCCCTTTGTAATCATGAGATTAGAAGAGAAATCAAACCTTTTAGCAAATCTTACATGGGACCCTCTTAATCCATCTACACTATATACAACAAATTAAGAGAAATTTTATCTAATTAAATATCACAAGAAAAAAAAATGGTATTTCCATTTAAACCTAAATCATAAGGTAACCCAAAAAAAAAAAAAACAAAGAACATCATTTACTACTTAACAACATGGATGCAAATTGTTTATCATCTAATCATCTAAACTAACTATATTCCAAAATAATCACACTAAAAGGGTAAAAAAAAAAAAAATCACTTGACTTAGTTTAGCTGAGGCTGATCAAGCTGAATATTTGATGCACTGCTCTGGCTACATCATCTGCTGTCCCTAGTTTACAATCATCTTCTATCTGCAATTTTTTGGGGAAAAAAAAAGAGATTGTCAACCATATATTTTTCCAAATTCTGTTTAGTTATATATGCTAATTTATTATTGTATCAAGTAAAAGTTATAGCCAACACGATATATTGCATTATAACTATGTTACAAAATGCTATGAAAACACAAGAGAAACACCAAACAGTCGTGTATGTATAAATACTACTGTATCATTTTGCTAACAAGTCCGGCTAATTGGCTAACAATAAGTCAAGAGCAGCAAAGTCAATCGTCTAACACACATACTCGGCCTTAAGGTGTTGTTCATCATACAATCTTCTAAACCATTATATGGAGTACTTTTTAAGTTTGTAGTCCATATCAGTTTAATTCTTCTTTTTCACATAAACCAAACTAAACTAATTAAGTACGAAGTAGGATTCATTAGAATGACTAATTCTAAAATTATAGCACATCGACAAGACATAGAATAAGACACAATATAAGACAGAAGATCTAAACTAAATATCTAAGCCATTCAAACCAACATGCAGATAAAATCCTCAACCATGACCATACATGATAAATGTACATAAGGGCCACATATATATATATATATATATATCACAAAAACAATCCAAAATTTTGATATTGTATAACAAAAAAACATACTTGTATTAAATTAAAAGAGACAAATATAATATAATGTAAATGTAATGTACGTACCTTAAGATTAAAAGAGTAGTGTACTAGAGTATGCAAAGAAGTAATGTTGAGATGAAGAACAGTGAGCCTTAATTCTTCAAATGCAACAATTGCTTTAATGAGTTGACCTTGTCTTCTTTGACATTTGATTTTTAAGTTGACATGATTTTGAATTACAACCACTTCTATTTCTGCTATTCCTGTCTTCTTTTCTGCACTGAATTCCTCATTACTTTTCCTTAGACTTCCTTCTCCTGACTCCCCATTCCCATTCCCATTCCCATTCCCATTCTCTTTCCCTTTCCCTTTCCCTTTCCCTTCTTCCGGGGGTTGGAATGAAGGCGATGCCATGAACATGTTACTATTATTGCTTAGATTGTTCAAATTAGAAGAGGATGATGTAGAGGATGGACTGACTGAAACGTCGCCGTTTTCTTCAATTTGCCTCAGTTTCTTTTGTGCTTGGAGAGATTGTAGCATTTGTTCCAATTCCTTTACAAAATCTATTGCTCCTCCTATGACTGATGCTTGGTCCCCCTGCATTTCATTTTACAAAAAAAGGTTCATAATTAATCAATACAATTATTTGAATAACATTACAAATTGTTACACTCCATCCCTTAAAAAGAAAACACATTTACACTAGTTATATGCTAGTAGTCTAGTGTACTTCTAATCAATTTTTCCTTTTGCTCTATATTTCGCTAAAGATACATAAGTGCCTTATTAGACCGGAACCCCACAGATAAATACAAGTACAAAGAAGGGTGAGTTTTAGACAAATCAAACAAGTTCATAATTGACATAGATTCAATAATAAAAACCCCAAAACTAGAAAAACACACACAAAAAATAAGGACAAAGGATAAACTAACCCTTTGAACATAGGAAGGAGGCATGAGAGAACGAAGGGCATTAAGATGTTCATTCATTTGGCGACGGCGGTTGCGCTCAACAGCAATGTGAGTCATTCTTTGAGTCTCAACCTCTTGTTTGTTCTTCGCCGGCCTCGTCGCTCTCTTCCTCTTTCTCTTCTCCTTCACCGGCGCCGGTGCAGTAGTCCTTGTTTTCAAGAAGTGTGTTTTCTTAGTAGATCTACCATCACATTTCTCAACTTTTTCTCCAATTTCAGTTGTCTCAGATTTCACCCCAGGAGAGTGTTGTATGTCCATAATAATCATACCATCATTACTAATACTATCATTACCACCAACATTAATACCATGATTATGATTATTATGGAAATGATGATTGGTATTGGTAGTAACACAACTCTCAACTAGCTGATGTTGTAGTCTTAGGAGAAACTGGAAATTTGTTGGTTCAAAATGATGAATTAATGGTTGTTGTTGCTGCTGTTGTTGTTGTTCAACAGTTTGAAGCATTTGTAAAAATGGCACCTTATCTTCTAAACTTGGAAAATAACTTGCACCACCTCCTTCAGAATAATAATTATATGGATCTTCATATTTCATACTTGCTGCTGTTGTTGTTGTACTGCTTATAAATTCCTCTAACCAATTACCCACTTCCATATCTTCTGCAATCAACTGCAAAAAAAATAAAAAATAAAAAATAAAATTATGGAAGAAATAAATAAGGTTGTCATAGAATGGAATTAATAGGGAATAAAAAAGAGCAGAGAATTTCCATATTCTAGGAAGATATAATAACACTTGTAATTAACAAGCAATAAATGCAAAAGAGGAGTAAATGCAACAAGGTCTACATCTATAACTCTCAAAATGAAAAAAAAAAAAAAAAAAAAAAAAAAAAAAAAAAAAAAAAACGTGTATAGTATATAAATAAGTAGTAAAAAAAAACAGTATAAAATGTACTAAAAAGAGCAAAAAGGGAAGAAATTATGGAAGAAAAAAACATACACAGGGATTAATGGGACCTTGGAGCTTCTCCATTATAGCCAACGTAGTGGGTTTGGTGAAACTCCAAAGTACAATTTTGCAATAAATAACAAATCCTTTCTTTTGATGATTGATAAATTTTCTCTCTCTAACTTGAGTTTCTCTCTCTTAAAAAAACTGATTTTGGTATTTGGGGGTGCAGTGCTGTGCTGTGCAGTGGAGCTGTGGAGTGCAGTGGAGTAGAGTGGATGGTTATTTCTAGAAAAGCAGCATATATTCTTGACTAGTTAATGCCATAATAATAAATGTTACCTTCCCAATATAGTAGTATAAAGTTTTCAGTATTATTTTATTTTAATTTTGCATAGGAATTTTAAAGAAAGAAGAAAATATTTATTAATTAGAGAATGAGAAAGGAAGAAGATGATAATGGTGAAGAAGATATATTTGGGGAGTTCTGAAAGATTTGGTGAAGAGAGAGAAGGAAGAAGAAGATGAAGAAGAAGAAGAGGAGGAGAAAGGTAGAGTTGTCTGATCTGCAAAAAGAAGGTCCCCCCATTTAAACATTATTGGCGTGGCAGATTTGTCCACCACCGGGGACACTCTCTCTTGTGGGGACACTCTTTCTCTCTCTATTTTCTCTCTCTAAACTCTAGGGCTTTTTCCTAGTCTCTCCATTACCGGTAAAGGCGGTAATCGTTCTAATTTGGTCGACATCTATAATTACTTTACGGTGAAAAGAACAGAGCTTAAGGCCTATTCTGATTTTATTGAACCAAGCTGGACTGAATTGAGGTGCACTAAATTATTTATGGGAGAAGGAAAATAGGAACTGAACTGAACTAAAATTAAAGATTCGTTTGGTAAATAGCTTTTGATTGGTTTTTGGCTTTTTTATTTGGTCAAACATCCAAAATTTGTGTTTGGTAAATGACTGAAAAGCTGGCTTTTAAGCCAAAATAAAAATACTACTTGGAGTAGTTTTTGGCTTTTGACTTTTGGTTACCTAAGTTACTAATAACATCCAACAATTAATTTTACCAAATATGTTTTTAGACTAATAAAAAGTCAAATAGCTAATAAAAAAATCAATACAAACAACCAGTCAAATAAGCCAATCAAACTAGCCGACAACCAACAGCCAACAGCCAACAACCAATTGCCAAACGAGGCCTAAGCTGAAGAAAATAAGTCCTTAATTATCGCATCAATAAAAGATAAATACTGACTTTATTCATGTACGGAGTATAAACAAACTATAGGTGCTTAATGTACTCGTAATAAGCTGGCATTGCATTTCATAAGCTTAATCTCTAATTGCGAGTAGATTGGACGCCTTCTGTACTGTTCTATAGATAATTTCATGGAGTATTTTCTTTTGGGTTTTTGCTTTTACAGTAGTATTTGATTACTTTGTTGTACAGTAGTTTCCTCCTTAGCCCAAATGCTCAGCAATTTGCTATTTTCTTGCTATAGTCCACTTTATCTACAGGTGATGAATTACTCATACATCATTTTCTCTATTTAGACCGTTCATAACCATATTCTTATAGATTTTGTACGTACACCTCTCTTTCTAATGCTAATCATATCTACAATGCACCTCTACATAAAATGCTTGCTACATTTTGTTTTAAAAAATATTGATCACTAAAGTTAGTTAAAGTAATATGGAGTATAAAGTGAACAATATATAAATCAAATATTTACAATAAAATAAAGAAGAAATTTAAAATTCAGGAAGACGTCTATATGATTCTAAATTTCTATGCATCATTCTATTGCAAGAGGTCATTGTGTTAGTTAGGATCAAATCTCATCTATAAGGGGGTGGACTTGAGATAAGACTATTCATAGGAACGAACCAAAAATCATCCATGTCTAACAAAAATATCAACTATCTTAATTAAGCCTTCATGATTAGCATGAAGATTGCACAACATAGTCAAAAACAAATGAGGGTAATTAAAACTTCAAGTTAGAAACAAACAATTGTAGTGAAATACACTCTCTCTAAAATTTCCTTTTGCATGTAATGTGTTATCTTCTATCAACTAGAGTTTGGTTTTTGATATCAACAGCCAAAAAAAAGGAAAATTGGTTACCAAACTAATATGGATGGTTTTTGATAGCAATAATTCATACTAATCAAATCTGCATGAACAAAGCTGCAAATCACTATTTCTCAAGTACTTCCCCAATTTCAAACTAATTGCAATAATTTGCTTTTTACACAATTTATTTACAGTATATAAACTTAAATGTCACTTACTGCAATTATAAAAATGAAGGATTCAATCAAGTGATTTTGAACAGTAAAAGATGCCAATATACAGTGAATATCCATCAATTATGAGAACCCTTTTCATACAAAATTGGACTTTTACATCAATAATTTAACTTGAATTTGTTGCCATTCTTGGTAATAAGGGTGAAAAAAAGGGGTAAGAGCCAAAGTATACAAATATACAAGGAGTGAGCTAGTATAAAAAATATACAGTAAATAAAAACAAGAAGAAAATGGGACCTTAAAAGCTTGGATTAATTGGTGCCACGAATGAATGAACAAGATAAATAGAATAGATAGATAAAATGTCAATAAACTCAAGACTAGTAGTCGTTGAAGATCGAAGAAGAAAGACAAACATCTACTGTAAATAGTGTTTTGGCATGTTACTGTACACTTTCGTGTAGATCCCGATACTAGGTACAATCAAATCACTTGTGTACTTTTTTTTCTGAAATTTTAATTATTAGTGTTTTTTTAAAATTTTTGAGAATAATTATAGAATTTTTACATCTTTCAAATGATATTTTGTTTAATTTTTTTTTTTAAAAATAAAAGATTTAAATTCCAAAAATAACATTAAAAACAAGTTTGTATATGATAATTTATGAAAATTGTACATTAAAAACAAGCTCGTAGTATGATAATTTATGAAAATTGTATTAAAGCCAAGCTCATATTACAAATAATTCATGAAGTATGTACATCAAAACCAAGCTCACGCTCCGTATGTGATAATGTTTTTTTTTATATATACATTATCATCAAAATCAAGTCCAAATTTTAGTCAAATACTTATACATACAAAAGATTAGGTAAGATCGAAAAAAAAAAATATTTAAATTCATATCGTTACAATTTATTCAGAGTATAAGTGGAGGATTTTTTTAAAAAAAAAAATTTGGAAAAGTATTTAAGATGATGAGACTTGCTTCCTTACTTTTCCAAAAAAATCTTATCCAGGATTAATTTATTAAAGCCGGCCAAAGTTTGACCTTGTTATGCAAGAGAATTATAGAACAAACAAGACCTCACACAAAGGGTATTGACCTTTAAGAAAGTCAACTAATAAAGACTCTGACCAATAAACTTAAAAAGAAAATTAAGGAAACTGGTGTTAAATCAAATAATATTTGGCACTATTACAGTGACAAACCCAAGCACTTTCAAAGCTGATCTTTTTTATGCCCGAAGTATCTCGACAGGAAAATCCATTATTATGAAAACTACTTTTCAAGATAAAGAAAAAAGAAACAGGGATTCAGGGAACAAAAACAGAGTTTTGCCTTAAAAATAATGAAAATATAAACATTTCCACCTTTCAATTCCATTTATGGAGTATAATATCCACTGACATGATTACTAAATTTGAATTATCTAACTCTAATCCAAAGTAAAACTAGAAACAACATGATCCAATTTTGACTCAAATCAAACGTGACATGTCAAAATAAGTAATAAACATACGTAATAAGCTACTTTAATTAACAATAGACCCCGGCCAAAAAATTAACAGAAGAGAAATGACCAAGAGAGACTCGAGGAATACATCCTAAATAACCCATTTGCCACTTATGGCAGCAATAAACAAATAATCAAACCAAAGATGACATAATAGCACTAATCAGTTAATCAATCCAATTCAAAAATGAAAATAGCAATCTTGGATTCTGATAATAAAGCCTAATAAAGACAAATCTTTTCTAAAAGGACACAATTTTATTGATAAATTTGTTCTTTATCATAATTGCTCCAAAAACTCAGTTACTATCAACCGGCCACCCCACCAGTAACTGCTGCATGTTGCAGGAAAACACATACATTAGGCAGTATCAATATCTTGTAAGGCAGGTCTTAAATTTCTTCCACTCATCCCTTTCTTCTTGATAACTACTATCCTAGTTTAAGCACATCCTACTTCTTACATCCAACTAAACAACCTTATTAGTTATTACCTCTTACACCCTAAAACTCGTCCCTATCACATTGGCAGTCAAAGTCGGTGAGCAAGTGTCCGCGTATGTTATCCGGCAGATGGATAAATTTCTGGTAGCATTAGTAAGATAATGACCTCAAGAACAAAGGTTACAAAAAAACAGATGCCAAATTCTAGGCACCGTAACAAAGTTTAAAAATATTATCTTGGAAACTAAAAGAATCTCATTTGTTCCCTTCATTCTCTAGAATATCAGCCAACCATAACTATGATACATTACGTTGTGGCTATGTGAGCTTCATGTTAGTAAATGAGTAAGAAATACAATCAAAATAATGGCATAAATTTTCTAGAAATGCAGAATAAAGTAGTCAGTAATAATTATTCCTTCACTAGTTCCATAATTTAGGTCAGCCCAAAAGAGGATACTCTTAAATTTAAAGACTAGGTAGGTGGTGGGATGTTAATCAGAGGTCAAGGGGCATGTCCGAAGCCAATCTTTGTCAAGTCAGACAGGGGGCCAAGGGCTGATAATAAGAACTACTATTAACTGCCCTACTAAAGCAGGCAAGTATTTCTATTAGAGCTAATCTGTAAGAGTTTGAACTTTGGACCTACCATGGGAAGGGTAACACATTGTATATGTAAGATATGTTTTTTTCCCTCTTCCCCCATTTGTTTCATTGACAATGACACTAAAATGTCCATCTACCACAGATTAATACAAGCAAGTAACAATACAACTAAAGCGTGATATTATAACACAAGTCAATTACGAAGTATATCTTGAAGATAGAGAGAGGGGGGGGGGGGGTAACATATCTTATCCTCTAACCAAGAAGGTGTGATTTCTGGTGTCTCCGTTGGGTTCTTATCCTCTTTCTTCTGGTTGAGAATCAGCATGTTTTTGCTGTACAATGAACAACGACAAGAATGAGCCAATGTACGAAGAAATAGAATTAGCCCTTCAATAAGCACAGGCTTATCGAAATGAAGATATTACATCACAATTTGCCGAGATAAGGACAGGATTGAGTGCATGTTATCAGAAGTTCTAATACAAGTATACAAATACAATGCTCACACTAAGTTACATGAAAAGATAAATGGATTCCACTATTCAAACATAGATCACAACACAAATTAGTGAAAAATAGAATATTAATTTCATTTAAGAACATTTACGGAAAAAAAAAAAAAAAAAGGATTCCATTATTATTATTATTATTATTATTATTATTATTATTATTATTATTATTATTATTATTTCTGGTCATAGAGCTCAACACAAATTGGCGTGTTCCAAATCCTAATAGTAATATTAATTGAAACAGAACAAATACGTACTGTAAAATTGGTTGAGAATGATTTTTAATGAGGAAACTCAAGCTCATTGATGGTATCTCCTGGATTTTGATTTATCACATGGAACAACGCCAGCAGATCTGCCACCATCAAACTACCATCCAAAAATAATAACATAAGAAGAGAGATCATTAACTGTGACTGGTAACTGAATGAGAGGTACCTGATGAGGAGTGGATTTAAATCCATAACCATCAGACTAGCTGCTGTAGGTCCCAAGGATCTACGGGTATGATGCAAGTGAAAGCAGCATATACAGTTGACTCTTTTCCCGCCTTCACGGCTGTCTGCAGCTTCAATTCAGTATAAAAAAAAATACTGAGGGAATACCAGATTGAAAGGAAAGACTGAAGCTATACTACCAAAGTAGATCACAGAGGACAGAGTGGACATCAGCAAAAAAAAGGAGTTTCTCATTCATTTGTTAAACTTCCACAATGAGGTATCCACCCAAGAAATAGGGAGGATTGTATGTCTAGCAATAGCATGTACAATAGCCAAAAGACTTGGCAGATTTTACTGCTCCCTAGAAAAAGGCTACATGTTGCTAAACGGCTAATTAAAAATGCCAAATTAAAACTATTAATTGACAGGGTAGCTAAGAACTCTGAGATCCTCAATGAACAAGTTAACGTTCTATTTGTATAGTAACGTGGCTGATGTTGTACTCCTTCCTTATGTATTCTACCACTTTGTCCAGCACCAAATCTGCATCTGCTTCTGGTGTAACTTTCACATGGCAAGCCAGCAAAATCTTCCCCACAGTAATGGCCCATATATGAAGCTCGTGAACAGCCACTACTTCTTCCATCTCCAGCAATCCTGTTTGCAGCTTAGTTGCATCAATCTCCCTAGGAGTGCTTTCCATCAAGACTTCAAGTATATCTCTCAACATTTTGATAGTTGTCCATAGAACAACAATTGAAAATACAAGAGTGCATATCAGATCAACTATCATCCATTCGGGCTTGTACCAAATGATTCCTCCTCCAATCATTACACCAACACTCTGGATAGAATCACCAAGAACATGCAGATAAGCACCTTGAACATTTATATTCCTCTTCTTCTTCTTCTTCCCACTACCTTCTTTCTGGTTGTGCTCATTGTGAACATGTGAATTCTCCAGAAGCGGCTCAGCATGATTATCTTCATGAGCATGGTTATGCTCTGCTTCTGTATGCTGATGACGAGGACTTGCAGTCACTATCACTCCGTGGCTATGAGTATGACTATGACTGTGCTCCAGATGCTCGCTCCCATGCCCATGCCCATTATCATGATCATGTCCGTGTCCATGACCGTGTCCATGCCCATGACCATGGTCATGACCCAATACAAGAGCCATTATTATGTTCACTACCAGACCAAAGGCAGAAACAACAAACATCAAAAAGCCATTAACCTCACCAGTCTCATGTATGATCCTGACAACAGCTTCATAAACCAAAATACCAGCAAGAAGCCATATAAGTTGAATGGACACCAGGGCACCCAATATTTCTATCCTCAGAAACCCATAAGACTGACGAGGAGTAGCTTCCCAGCCTGAAGCCCACAAAGAGAACAAGGAAATAGCAAAAGCTGCAACATCTGAGAGCAAATGAGCAGCATCGGTTAGAATGGAGAGACTGTTGGCTTTGATCCCACCAATAACTTCTACGGTCATAAATATGACACAAAGAACGACAGCAATAAGAAGCTTCCGCATGGAAGCTGATCTTTCTGCAGCATCTGCTGAGCTTGTTCCAGCATTTTCAAATTCACAATGTACTTCCCCACATAACTTATTTCCTCCTCCAAATCGTCTCTTTTCAAGAACAGGATCCCTTTGAACTTCAACAATGTGGCTATCGTGACAATTATTTGGTTCCATCTACATAAAATAAAAGATCAGAAATCAATAAAAATTAAAGACAGTCTTATTGACATATTTGAAAATTGAAATAATAATAGCAATCAAGTAATTATAATCTACTCATATCAACCTTTCCAAAGTATTCCACCATATCCTATATAAGAATTATCAGACCACAGAAGTTGATATTTAATAACTATGGAGAAAAAAATCATATGTAACAGCCATGAGAAATCCAGATAGCATGAAGAACAAAAGGATTCAGAATTTCAGCCCTATCGTCTCAGACTATCCAAGATGAGACAGAAGTAATCACACATTTAAATTACAACACACGTAAATTACAATACTTAAACTAGTTGTATCTTCTGCCTATAGGAGCCATCAAATGAATTCAGTAATGGGCTGTGAATGGCACACGAATAATTGCATTATAACGAGGGTGGTGCGCACAAATTTGTCAAGGGAAAACAGTAGCAAGAAAGCATTCCAGGAAACAAACAGCTCGGTAGTGCAATGATGCGTCACAAATATGGTGAGTTGATGATTCATTCTAGATCAACTTTTGAGAAGAACAACAGTTATGATTGTTGTGAGCTACTCCGTACTTATGAAAGCATAGAGAAAAAATATTTCCATGATATCTAAAAAACTAAATAAGTCGATAAGAACAAAAATTCATATTCAAAGCATCGAAAGTCGCATGAACTACTTAGAGATATACACCACAAAAGAAACTCATCAAACATATATTTTAAGCCTTTCCTCAAAGTTGTCCTGGAACTGATACTGCTTTTTCGAATGGTATCTAAATATGCTTATTTCAATAGCTCTTTGAGACATAAAATACAGCACAAATAAACTAAATCAGCATTTTGTATTTATATTCATGATATCTGCAGGATAAAAATAGAATTCAAATACATTCCTAAGAACGCATCTTAGCAACAAACAGAACAATCCAGACTTCATAATCAACAAATTTGATACAACAAAGCAGATTGTGTGCTAGCATGATTTGTTCATTTATTCTGACCACAAAAACTGAGGAAAAATCATTCCAAGCAAGAAAAACATGCCACATGAATAAAATTTGCAGATATAAAATTTCCTATATGAAATAACTTATCAGTGCAATATTATTCAAAACTTCATCACTTGATAATTCTCTACTTAACCACTTTCCTCTAATTCTTTCTTACGAATTTTGTTATTATACATTAACCAAACAGTGACGTTATCACACATTCACACTCTAATGTACGAGTGCATAAAGCATTTATTTTTTAAAATTGACCATATAAATATTCAAATGATTGACGCAAAATTTCAGACATAATCAAGGAATAAACAATACTCCCAGCGAGTAGACAAAGAAATGTTCATCTAACCTAGTTAAAAGATCATGATAGGGTTAAGCATGGCAAGGGAGGTCACAGAAAGCACATGGTTCTTCCTCATTCAGAAAGGAGACATCAAAAAAAGGAGGTGGTTCATGGTCCCGGAAAGAAATAACTGACACCCATGGTTAAGCTGAGCAAATAATCTGTTTCCGCTGAAACTTTTAAGCTTTAACAGGTAGGACATTTCCCTCTTAGAGTTTCTTCTCTCTCGCCCAAAAGAATATCAATAATACAGTACCAAAATATTTCTATCCAAGACCAACCGTAAATACCATACTTAAGAGAGAAAAATTATCCACATAACTGCCCAAAGATATTTAACCCCTACAAATTTTAAATTCCAATGGCCAAAAGGAAAGCTGCAATGCTTATCCAAATTCAAAATCCTACTTTAAGAAACCCATATTCCCATCCTGACTTAAAACTCATACTCTTAAAAAAGAATATTTCTACCTTGCACATAGAACATTGCCCCTACAACCAAGACTCGACACTAAATTGCGCCTTAGTCCCAAAATGATTTAGGGTCAACTAACATGAATCGTCATAAGGAATCGTATGATATTAAAAAAAAAAAAAAAGACATAACAAAATAATCATTTGAAGAGTTTGAAATAAGGTGAGTAAAGTGAGCAAATGAAAGAGCATTTAACAAAAATTAAGAAGTGCGTCAAGAGCGTCAAAAATTAACCACGAAATAATGTTAATATCCACTACAGAGAACAAAATTAGATTAAATCGCACTAAGAAGTACATATAAACCAACCACAATTATAAAAGTACAACCAACATAATCAAGGATAATGAACTATTGGAAGTACCAAATAGATTCTAAGTTGCTTTGTCAAAAACATTACAAACAAAATTAAGATCAATTTATACAATCTTAAAGCTAGATAAAATCATACAAGAACACAACTTCCATTGAATTCTCAAAACTAAACCATTAAAACTTAAACTAGTAGCATATAAAATGTGAGCAATACCTTGGTACAATTGTCTTCAAGAGTCTACTAAACAAACCAAGCAATGGCAAAAAGAATCCAAGGACGAATTCTGAAGAAAAAAAAAAAATACAGGCAGTATCAAAATATCAGATCAAATATTATAGAGCATACTTATAAAAAGAACAAGAATTACGCACAAACGACAAAAAAGAAAGGAAATACATAAATTCAATACTCAAGACACAGACTAATTACTTAAAGAGAAGCCAAAAGGGCTAAGCAGTCCCGATAATGCTACTATGTGCGTGTGCGTGTGCATGGCAGTGCATCTGATCGATTGATACAAATGACTGGTAAAATTAAGAGCTACATCATGAATCTATCTATGAAAAAGGTTTAGAATAATAAGAGGTGGAGGGTATAAGAGAAATGATAATATTTACAGCTTTTGGAGATATGTAAAGCAAATTTAATGGCATAATGCATAGATACCCCTTATCTTAACAGATAAAAGGGGAATCCCAATTAATAATTCTAGACAATTGGAAGATTCCCACATTCAAATGATTAGGCAACTAATTGACAATAACAATGAATTAATCATATCATTACTACCCAATAATATCCTTCAAAAATTCCAAAATAATCAAAAGAATTAATTACAACAACACCAATTGATTTAAACATATCTACAGCAAAAACCCAGAAAAGCAATCAAAACAGAGCAATAATAAAATTAAAAACAAATTAAAATTAACAATGCCGAAAAATCAAATAACAAACCTAAAAATAACACTTAACTAGCAAAAACCCAGAATTAAGAATCTCAACATAATCCGATGAGCCAATTAAACAAAAATCCAAGAGACAAAATCTGAAAACATAATTAATAAAGGGAAGAATGAAACGATTAGGACTTGTAAAACAAATAATAAAACATGCCCAACACTAAGTACAGGAATTATTCAATACAGCAGGTATTAACTGAATATTCAACGATTTAAAAATGATAATAATTATAAACAAACAATAATTGAATTCGTAAACTACAAACAAAATTAATTAAAAACATATTTTCCAGAAAATAAATTTCAGGGGAAAATTATAAAATTAAAAACTTACAGAGAAGATGAATATTTAAACTTTGATGTTTGATGGTGGAGCCTTGAGAGAGAAGAACCCAGATTTCGTGTTCTGGGTTAAAAAAACTCAAGATTCCGTAATTGCAATAATAATATACGGAGGAAAAAATAAACAAAATTTGCAATAATTTAAACAAAATTTAAAGCCTAGGTCAAAGTGACCGAGTCACCGACCCACTGAGTCAGAGATATCAATGCACATTAACTGTTTGATAAATTGCCAATGAGAGAAAACCTATTTCGAACTTTTACTAATGGGCCTTGTGATATTTTCTTCTTTTATTTTGTTTTTTTTTTTTTTTTACTTTTTGGTCGAGATATAAAGTTTAAGTTGGACACTTGGACTAATAGGATGTGGCCATGTCACTCTTTATTATTTTGTTGTTTATATATTCGTACCAATTTAGCTTGTGCTAAAATGAGATGGCCAAATAGGGATGTTTTGGTGAGTTGTCTTATCTAATGATTCAAGGTTTGTACCCGATTTCTATGATTTTCTCCATGATTTTGGGTGGGTTTGAATATCTAATAATGTAAATAAATTTGATTTGTACTTTACGGTTAGATTTAGAAGTTTACAGTTTTCATATTGTGGAATTACTAAAAATCAATGCATCATATACTCGGCTCTATATATTTGTGCGTGGTTATTGAGTTTCATTGAGATTTAAGGGTATGATATATTATTATAATATAGAAAATAATATCATATGGGATTCTATGAGTATTATAGTAGGTAATAAGATTAAGGTAGATAGATTTTATTAGGAGATATAGTAATTAGGAATCTTGTAACATTAGAAGTTTTTTTTTTTGTTGGTACACACAAGGGGCTAGCCCCAAAAGAATAAGAAAGCTAAAACTACAAAGAAAGGAAAAACAAAAAACTGAAAGCAAAATAAAAAAGAAACTAACAGCCTACAACAAGGCTTCTGAGGCACCTTATAAGTCAATGTGCTTTATTCGGAACCATCCTACTTCTCGAAACTCCCCTTAAATCCTCTAATTAAACGGACCAAGGTCCATCGGGACAGCATCAAAGATGATTAACTTTGAATTAGCCCGTACAAATTAGTTGGAACACAAATTTGTGTGATTGATTAAAAATAAATAAAGTGTAACTAATGTTGATTTGTACAAGATAAATTAACGGTGTAAAAATTATTATTAGTTCGTACAAATTAGCTTTACTATTAAATCTCTGTCACTTTTGAATCCTTGACATATATTGACAATAGATTGACACTATGGGGTTATAGAAAAGTGTTACCTCACAAAACAAAGAAATTATTCCCACTAAGAACATGATAAGCATGTATATATATCACAACACATGAAAGATGATAGATTGATGTCATTATGAAGATATTGTTGATCATATAATATTATAATAACATATTCATACCCCAATAAGCCCACAGCTCACTTTCCTACTTTGCCCTTATATCTTTAGTGAACCTCATTGGTTGGGCCTCAAAATCTCAATTCAAGTGCAAATTCTTGGCTGCATTCTAGTGCAGCCAAGCTAGCTGCAACACCACTAAATGTGAACATATAGTACGTTAAAATGAACATACGTTTTTTTTTTCTTCCTTATATCTTAATTCTCTTTCTTCTTGTTCCTTAGCTCTATATTTTTCTCTCTCTTCAGTTTTCTCAATTTAACATTTTCTCTCTCCTCTTTACCTCATTTCCCTTCAATCTTTAAAATTTTCTTCTTCTTTATATAAATTTTTGAGTTACTAATTCGTGTTTTGATGGGTATACTTCTTTCTTTCTAAATCTATGAGTTTCAGATTCAATCATTTGGCTTTATCAAAGAGAAAAGAAAAAAAATGGAGGAGAGAGAAAGTTGAAGGTCAAAGAAAACAATGGAGGTTAGATTTTATCAATTTGTAATTGTATTTTGTATGATTTTGTTGACCATGCATGATGATTTATTGTTTGATTGTTTGAAATTATTATGAGTTTGTGATGAATATCAATTAAATTGCTTAATTGTTAATGAATATCAATTGTATTGCTTAATTTGTAGTTATTTTCTCTCCCCCCTCCCCCCCCCCCCTCTCTCTCTCTCTTTTTCTTTTGATTTCTAATCATGTTACAAATCAATAATTAATTTCTCTATGATGAATCAAGATTAGATTTAAGGTGTATATTCAATTTTTTAGAGTTTCAATAATTACAATCGATCTTGAATATAATTTCTGTAAAAAAAATGAACACGTAGGAATTTAAAAATGAACAACTTTTACAAAATGAGCATTTAGTACATCGAAAATGAATATTAAATACATAAAAAATGAATATATTTCAACAATTTATTTTATCATTATTTTTCATTAATAATTATATACAATGAATTTGAACCTTTATGGAAATCATGTTCATTTTAATATCCTAAATGTTCATAACTTTTTGTTACATGTTCATTTTATAAGTGTTTATTTTTTAATACCAAATGTTCATTTTTATTAAGTTGAAAGTAAAATATAATACGTTGAAAGTTAAATTATCTGAACATTTAGTGTTGAAATTCTGAACAATTTATTATGAATATATATGTTTCGTTATTCATTACGAACATATCTGCTATTGATTATGAACACATATGACATATAGAGTGATAATTATTTATATTTTTAACTTTTGTATTGATGATTATATATTATGAACATTCTAAATAATTATTATGAACATATGTTGTGATGGTTATGAATTTTGATTATTTGTTATATTTTAGTGAGTACAGATTAATTGTATTTGTAGAAGACAAAGACTTTGAATTAGTGAAGAAACAAGTAAGAAGTGATGAAGAAGTATATGATATTACAAAGAATTTGCCTTTAAGTTGGAGAGTTTCTGATGTATATGATCCCAATTTTATGGTTGTATGATAAATGTTCATTTCTAATATATTAAATGTTCATTTTTTTTTGACATGTTCACTTTTTATTACTAAATGTTCATTTTTTACGTGTTCATTTTTATTACTGAATATTCTTTTTTTTTTTTTTTATGTGTTCATTTTTCTAACTAAATGTTCATTTTTAAGGTCGTGGTCTAACAAATTTATGATTATATGATAATCAGATTCATTTTTAATAAATGATCATTTCCTTATAACATATAACAAACTTTTTAGTATTAAATGTTCATTTTTTTACGTGTTCATTTTTTGTTATTAAATATTCATTTTTTTTTCATGTTCATATTTTTTTAACTAAATGTACATTTTTTATTTGGGCCGCGCGTTTTGGGCCTCACTTGTTGTAGCTATCTTGGCTGCACTCCCATTTGCAATTCAAGTGTACTTATTTTGTTCTTGGTTGGGCCAAAAACTCACAATAATGTAGCTTTTTATAGACCAATGAGGCCAGATGGCCCAGATGTGCAAGGAAAAGTATTGCGAGGGCTTGGTCCGTATATATGAAACTAAACTACGGAGTACCTTTTAAGGCTTTAATCGGTTTGAAAACAATTATACTCCCGTTAATTGGATCTAGTCATATCAATTTATAATTTTTTCTTATTCCGTAATAAGTTGGTAAGATACGATTTTATGTATCAGACTATCAGGTATCATTTGAAATTTTGTGACTTAACAAATTAGCATTTCTTATGTCATATTTACAAATTTACTTGAAATTGTAACTAAACAAATTATTATTCCTTATGTCACGAGTTGGTAAGATACGGTTCTATACGTAGTATAAGAAATCGAGGCAAAAATATGAAATTTTTATATACTATGTATTAATTTTGGATGACAACAATTATAAATACATATCCTAATGTCTTTATTATTTTTAGAATAATTGACTCATCTTTTAGCAATATCGTAGCGAATTAGCTAGTATAGGTTAATTTCAATGGTAGAAACTAGTCCATACACAAAGTTTTGACATGATTTAAAGAATTGTACATAATAATATTAATATTTGTGTATTAAATTCAACGGGGGAATAAGGTGTCAATAATTTGCACCAGTATTAAATCAAACTAGCCTTTTGACCCGTTCGATGCACGGCTTGTTACTTAGGTTATTTTTCTTGAAAAGTGTCGGTGTTGTTGTGGAATTTAGTTAGGTATATATACATAGATATTGTAGGGCATGAAATGACACATTGGTTTAAGTTATATTAAAGTTAAGGAGCAGAAAAAACTATTTTATTGTTAATGTAATGAACGCCAATTAGTTTAACTTTAATTTACTATATTGAATATGAAACGCTTAATGTTCTTACTTAAATTTGTAAGTTTTAGAATGCATAAAGATTAAAGACTTAAACATTATTTATATATTTTGATTTTATATTAAAATGGGAATTTAAAAAGAAAGGATTAAGAGAGATGACATGTGGCATATGAGTGATTATGGTGACATGTGGCTTAGTATAGATTTGTGGTTTGTGTTTTTAAATACTAAGTATAGATATAGATTAATTTGATTTACACTTATACTATTCATACATTATACCTAAAGAAACTTGCATAACTATTATTTAATTAGGAATAAAGTGAGAAATATAAGCATCTTATTCTAGGGCCTAAGACGAATTACCAATGAATTTCCAAGCTAAAGTTTTCTGGATTAGTTCCTTTTTCTTTTTCTTCCTTTTTTATGTTTTTTTGAGGTGCATATATATGCTCTTTTTGACAAAAAGTGATCACTCAGAAGTTTTATCAAATTTAAAGGATTCGTTTAACCAATCTAAACTGGGTTACTAAACCTTTCTAACTGTAAAAGGAGACATTTAGATTTATTTGTTAAACAACAACGTCTATGGAGAACATGTAAATGTACCAATACGACAATACCATATATATAACGCATGTATAAACAATAAGAGAATAAAATTAGTATTTAGCATGAGTATGTATATATAATACACGCATAAACGTTACAGTAACAAGTAAAACTTATATTTGAACTTAAAAATTGAACTAGAAGTTCATTTAACTAGCGAAAAGTACATATTTTCCATCCAAAAAATATCTTTTAATGAAGTTGGGCAATTTTGGCATATAGATAGGAAAAGTTTGACGAGAAGCAGAACCAAAAGGACGAAGTTGGGCTTATTGAGTAGGAGTGATATTAAGAAGATAGGTACATACGTAAGTGTACACTTGTTGAACGTGTGCGCAAGTAGTGTCAATGAATGATAAAAAATGAGGCCACTTTTATATAAACTCCAAAATTAGTTGCTCGACATTCGGTTCATTGAAAACTTGGCTTGTCCACATCTACTATATGCACCGTTTAATTATTTCTGAAATTGTGTGATATGATTATATGATATGATGCTATTCATTAATACTCACCACCTCATCTGCAGTCACTCCCATACTCCCATCATTATCACTATCCAACTTATTTTGTTTACTTGCTTTTACTTTGGGTACGTTTTATTCCAATATTTCAAACCATATTAAACTTTTATCCCAACCGTAAATTACATATTCATAAAAGATGATGAAAAATGTTGATTAATAGATAAATTAATATAATATTGTATTTTTCTTAAGCATAAAGATTCAAAATTGAAAAGGTGTAGTATTTTGTTAAAATGGAAGATTGGGTAATTATATAATATTCATTAACAGTTTAACACTCAAGCGAAATTTAAAATTTGGAATGATAAATATATAAGTATGTAGATGAAAAATATCACAAATTCAACACCTGACATAAATTGCCGGAGATAATAAAGCATCAATATTTTTCTTTACAATTATTGTTGCACTATTGAGTTTTAGCCAAGAAAATGCTTATTACATAAACCTATGTAAAACCTTAAACTTGCACTCTTCTAATAGATTTTTCCCTTTTTCTTCTTGCATGGCCTTCACATAGTGTAGTAATAATAAACTAATCCACTCAAGAAAACAAGAATTAAGAAGCAAAATTAAAATAAATGTAATCAAATATCAACATAACAAGGAGGATTTCTAAGCAAAGGTACTTGACCATTGGGATTGCTACCACCACCATTCTTAAACCCTAACATAACATCACATCTTACATAAACCCTACTATGTCCACTCTTAAACCACCCTGCTTTATACCTCACTCTTCCCATCAACACCCAACTCAACCCGACCACCCCATACGCCTCATCGGCCGCTAACCCCTCCACCACCTCGGGCGGTGTAGCCACCGCGGCACCACCACCGATCACCGGAGACATCATCACGGTGCTCCTTCTACGCTGGTGCAACGGAGGGAGGGGAGCCGGCGGTGTAATGGGGTGGTTCCGGTAGTGAACCGCCACGGTAAGGCGGTCATAGTGGATGGCGGTACGTTTACTAGGGTTACGAGTGAGGATAGTGAGCTGAACGGAGGTGGTGATGAATGTCGCCGGCGGGGAGGTGGTGTTGAGGGAGTACACGGCGGCGGAGACGGCGGTGAACTGGGGTTTCGCCGGGCGGTAGAGCAGCCATAATATTAAGACGGTTATGCCAATAAGTATTAATAAGGCGGTGATCACAGCACATAGTAGACGTCCACTTTTGTTGTTGTCGTCGTCATCATCATCGTCGTCGCTACGGTTGTGCTTAGGTGGGGCCCGGGATTTAGGAGGAGGTGAGGTGGGGAGGAAGATTTGTTGAGGTGGTTGAAGAGGTGGTTGAGGTGGTGGTTGTGAAAGTTGTTGGGGTGGTTGCAAAGGTTGCTGAGGTGGCATTGGAGATTGAGGTTGAGGCGGAGGGGTGGCGGAAGGGGTGGGGCGTTTTTGGGAAGGAGGGTGAGAGCCACCAGGAGAGAATAATTGCTTTGGTGGTTGAAGAGGTTGTTGTGGGGTGGCAGGTGGATGTTGGTGATGGGTTACTACATTAGGGTAAGGTGGTTGGTGATCGTCGTAGTCGTCATCGTCGTCTTCGTCGTCCATCTTAGGGAGGTGGTGATGGCGGGGTGGCTCTTCTCCCGGATACATGTAGGTAAGGAGATGAGGAGGGATGAAGGGGAGGGAGTGTGGAAGCAAAGGAGGAAGTTAAAGTTACTCCGTATTATTATTAGTGTAGGGAATAGTGAGTGTGTATGTGTGTGTTAAACTCAAGTTGGCATATGCATGCTTTATATGGGTGGAATACTAAAGTTTGCTTTGCTCAATAATTTGGTTATTAAGTAGCTAATTGTATTCGATAACTAAGATCATTTTGAAATTTGTATTTTCACATTTTATGTTTCACAAAACTTTATCTATTTTTCTAGTTTCATAATTTATCCCAAGACTCCCAACATAGTACTCTAGTTGATTCAAAGTATTGTAAAAAAAAATTTATAGGGATGTACAATATAAAGTCAAAATATTGTACTCGTAATAAATTACGGAGTATTATTAAACGAAGGAAATTTTAAATCCTTTTTCTTCATTTTTTACTCTCTTTGTCACAAATTAATTATAATACTGTCATTTTGTTTCTAATTTTTCTCATATCAATTATCAAAATGTTTTATCCCGATTTAAATTAAGTGGAATAGAGGAAGTTGGGAGTAATTCTTGTTGCTCTTCTCTCTATTGATTATTGAGACAATTGACTAAGTAACCCTCAAATCCTCAACTAGTTTTTCATTTACTTCAAACCTAATGTTTTACCTTAAAATCAACCAAACAAACACTTTTCCAAAAAAAGAATGAAACATCAACTTTAGTTTCATATATTAGATTAGATTATGATATACTACCTCCGTTGACTATTATGTACAACTTTAAAATATTTTATATCTCAAAAATAATACACCAAGGTTGCACATAATAACTAACGGAGATAGTAATTAAAAATACTAATATTACTGTTACACTCATATAAAAATAAAAATGCCCCCGTCATTTTCTTCATTTTTTAAAGGGATATAGCAAAGGATGAGCACCGACAATTGAATGGAGATGCATCTGCATGAAAAGTAACACGTGGCTGCATTTTTGCATTCCAATTCTCACTAGGTAGTGTCCATGCGCCAAATCATTGTAACCTTAGGTGCTACTTCCTCCGTTTCTTATTTTTAGTCCCATTAAAATGAAGTTAAAAAAAAATGGTTAGATGGAGTCGATGATAGAAAAAGATTGTGAGATTAATGTAGTGATTGTGAAAATAAAAACTGTACAATCAAAAGTATTATGGAACAAATTTAAAGAGGCGAACTAAAAAAATAAGACAAATATTAAGGGAGATAAGAAATAGTTTGTATCTAACAAAGTACAAGTGATAATAGTCAATTGCTCTACTTTTTTTACTTTTTTTTTTTTTTTTTTTTGTGTGTGTGTGTGTGTGGAGGGTTGGATTGCTCTATTACTCTGTAGATGTTAAATATCTAATAGCTAGTCATATTATAAGTAAATGAATAAATTGCATAATGGATAATACAAGTAAATAATTAAACGAATAACCTAACTACATTATTATTAACAAAGAAAGATTGTAGAGGAGTTCAAGATCTACTGCCATATAATCCTACTTTGAAATTTAATTCCTCCAATTTTAATTTTAAGAGTCTAATAAGCATATGATGAAATGAATTATGAAGTTGAAAGTTATACAGATTGGTGGCGGCCGTCCAATTGCAAAATTAAACAAACAGTACATAAGCACCAGGGAATCCCCCCAAACACACTAATATTAGTCGGTTGACAATTAATCTTGGCATGGTATGAGAATATATGCTTAATTGACTATCTACTTATCTTTATAGTACAAACTACAAAAGCATCATTTTTAATCCCTCTTTTCTTCTATTTTTATATTTCGATGTTCCCCATTTTACAGTTATTAGATAGGCCAGTTAGTTAATGCTGGAAGGTTGGTCGGCTCGTATTTGGGTATCTATTTCCTCATCTCTTGCTTTTTCAGAATATCAATTTTCTTTTCTTTATTTAATCATAAATAATTATTAGTTATAGTCATGACTTTAAGGGAGGTTGCATTTGATCTAAAGTCCATATCAGTTAATTGTTGTGATTGTATTGTATTTATTAATTTTTTTTTTGGTGTTTTGAGAGCTACAATGAGAATTGATTCCAAGATCAATCCCAAGATCTCTTGGAAATAGGAGGGGAACTCTAATCATTAGAGCAAATCCTCGCTCGTTATTTGTTGTGACCGTGAGGTTAGAGGGTGGCATATAAGTGCATACAAAGTATAATCAAGTCCTTCAAAATGGCATAATTAAGGAGAACTCGTACTTAATAGGCTATTCGTCCTTCACAATGGGCAAGTTTAAGCAGTAATCGTAATTGATAGGCGGATTCGTAACCAAATAACTCAACATTTCGAAAAAAAAACGTCCAGCTATCCCTGAACTCATGGATGTGTAATCAGTAAGACAGTATTCCCGAACCCAAGATGGTAACAGCAAGGTTCAAATAATGTATACATCAGCAATAAGTATGAAGGCTATATAACACCAAAATCGTGCAAATAAAGGGTGAAGGCCATGTACATATTACAGATTTACAAGACAATTTTCGTTCTTATAGTTGATCAGATAAAGAATGCATGTAATACAGGTATGTATATAATATATAGAAACAGAAGCTCGTGAAGATAAACAAATGCTACATATTAGACCATTTTAAGCTACCACAACCTAACTTTTTCCATGTTCCTAAATTGCTACAAGCTACAGGTATCCGCATCAACAACAATTTCTAGAGAACTGGTTTCTTTCATTTGATCTTTGTTTTCCTTCCACTCGATATAAATGGATGAAAAAAGAGAAGAGAAGAGAAACAAGAGTTTGTTAAAAAAAAAATGAAAAAAAAAACTATAGTTTATCAGTAGCTACCACTTGATCACTTGGGACTTGGCGAACAAACTGTCCTTTCACCCTAGGCCGCTGCTCTGCTAGTTTTTTCCTGCTTTGATACCGCACCTGCATTTAATCAAATACTTGGTGAGATGATCGACAAATCGACATTAAAGATCAAGACATGTAAACATTTTGGCTTATGGTAATCTAGAGGTGCACACAAATAGTTCAGGTCAAGTTCATATACCACAAATATTTGTCACCTGAAGTTTGCTCACCTTTTTCTCAAAGCATCGGTTTTTCCGTTTTTGTAGGAACTTAGCTAGAGCTGCTTCTCTTTCTGCAGAATGAAGACCCATTTTTAACTTGAACTGATCATGTACTAAGGGCTTACATCCTTCAGTCTCCTCAACAAGGCTCGATTCCTTCATGCCAGGGGCAGTGGCATTAACATCAGTAATCTCAGATGCACTTCCATGTGCACTGAGATTTTGTTGATTACCAAAATCATTACACTGAGTGATACTGCCACTTGGATCCACGACTTGTGAGCTGTTGTACCCAGATTGATCAGCTGATTCCTTAGCTTTAAGCTCGTCCCCAGCTTGGCCACACCCTTGAATAGAGCTATGAGTCCCTGGGTCAGAGAGTTTTGAAGGACTAGTCATAAGAGGTGACTCCTCTCTTTGCAATGCCGAGTTCGGACTTCTTGCTGTTGGACGTGTGTATGGATTAAATATTGGCTGGAATACAGCACCATAGCTAGCCCAAACACCACTATCAAATGCAAGTCCTGGTAGGGGAACAGGCCCAATTTGATGGTGAGGGGAAACTGGGTCACAAATTGCAGATTGAGGAGCAAGAATGTTGGGTTTGTTTTCCAAATCGCTGCTGCAAGGCTTGGGCCACAGTAGAGAATCAGTAGTACCTTTGATTTTTGGCAGTTCATCACCTGATGACGGGACAGAGGTCTGAGGCTTCTTGATACTGCTATACCTGCAGAAAAAGATAGCTCTACTTGATTATGTTCACAGCAAGTAATGCCAAAAAACAGTCATAAATGCTACACGCCTACAACAGTATCATGCACCAGTTATATAACCACACTACTATTAATACGGAAGCCTGAACATCAGCAAAAGACTAATTAACACAAACCTCCACAACTGGAAATATATGAGAAAAATAGCATCCACTCCCCTTGGCCCTTTCCCTCCAAAATAATAAACCACACACAAAGCATGTGTCCACTGCCCCACTCATGCTTATATTGTAAGCAATTCTGATGCTTATATTGATATCACAAAACTTGCATTAATCTAAATCGACAGTCAACTCACATCCTTAATTAGTTCCCTAAATCCATAACAATTTCCTCATCAGGGGTTGCCAAAATCCATTAGAATCCTTAACCCTCAATTTTATTGACCATATCTCCTTGGGATACGAGAGTTTCCTATTTTTCACAATTGAATCAGTATAACATGAACTGTAAGGGGAAGGGGGGGGGGGGAGCATGAAAGAGTAACTTACCATGAGAAGGCCGAGGCTTTAGAATGATTCAGTATTTGCCTCTCATGTACCTCTTTGGTTTCTGAATTGAGAGGTCTTTTTAAAGAAAGTTCTAGTGCAGGAGTAGAATTGTGTTCGTTAAACTCTCCATTGACACTCTTTTCCCTTGCTGCGCCTTCTTGTTCCTTTATTCTCCCAATCAAGTCAACAGCTTCAATTGAAGGTTGAGGAAGATCATGGCCAGCGATTTTAGCTCTATATGTGTGATTTCCTGGGCCTTTGCCTCCATCATCAGTTGCTATACCAGCACAGGATCCATCTTCAACTCTTGGAGAAGTTGAAACATTAACTTCTTTTGATAGTTGAACATTAGATCCTAATTTATCTGTATTGTCTGCAACAAAATGATGATGAGATGCTGATGTCAGCAAGCCATATAGGATCCTGATCAGTGATCTAAGATTTGCCACAAATAAACATACCATCTATGACATTGGTAGGTAAGGACAATCCCTCCTCCAATTTGACATCCTTGGCCTGATGTTTATCTTCTCTGCCGCTGACTTCAGTTTCTTCTCCATGTTTCATCTGTAAGAGACACTGCAAAATTATCATGAATACATGCTTAGCTTCTGTGGAGCACATTGTATCTGGAAACGACATTTCCACAAGATTGGCCTCACTCACAAATAGTCGGACTCGGGTTTTTTGTAAAACAGATTTAATAGTGATGGTGTGCAACATGTGCATAGAATATTGCAGACATAAATGATTGCATGGAAGCTAATGTAAAGGTGGCAAATGGGTCTTTGGGATTGGCTTGAGTGAATTCAGTTCAGGGCATTTGGGGAATGAGTCCATTGGTTCGCATTGTATCCAGCCATAATCTATTTCAAATATATTTGATGAAAAAAAATCATTTTAAGCCATATGAGCTTTAGGTGGGTATTACTGTTTCAGTTATGATTTGGGTAAGCTCGGATTTTATCCTTCATACCAGAACCAATTCAGCAATACTAAAATAACAAAAAGGATCAGCAGTGTAGCAAGCATGTGTTGACACTCACTTGGGCATCAGTAGCTTTTTCACTGAAGTCGCTACTTCTCCAGCTGGAAGAGACATTATCACCAGAGTGATTGATTGCTTGATTGTTCTCAAATGGGGCCTCAGCTTTATGTTGTCCGATTGTTAAATTTTGAGGATTATTCCCACCATTGTTCTGTGAAAGGAAAGAGCAATAAAATATCAGAAACAGCACTAGAAAGTTGAAAAAATTGAATAAAAAAAGGTATGGAAGGTAAGATGATACAGCAAGCCTCTTCCAGACATGGCGCCACAGGTTTTTCAGTTCATTTTTCCTGACAGGCTTTACAAGAAAATCTGCTGCACCCTTTAATAAGCATTTTAACACCATACTTATTGAATCCTGTGATGACATAACTGCATGATCATTAATAAAAGGTTATTTGCTGGAGTGAGGGAAAATTCCAACAAAAGAACAAAATTAATTGAGCTCATGAGACACACTTATAACAGGAATATTTTTGCAGTCATCGTGTTCCATGATTAATGTGAGAAGAGCATATCCAGATATTGATGGCAAATCCAGTTCGGTTAATATGAGGTCTATGCTATTGTGCCGGCGCTTGAGGATTTCCCAAGCCTTCAATCCATCTGAAATAGCAGCAACTGCCAAATAAAAAAGAATAAGAGCCCATTAGCTTCAAAATATTCAGCTGGTGCAATCAGAAAAATAGTATAAAGGTTGAATGAAACATGATGGCAAAGAGTAAAAGGGAAAAATAAAATCTCAGCATATAACACAAGTTTTTAAGCTTGAAAATACGAGGAAGGTGGAGATAGGGGGACAGATAAAAGATGTACGGATATAATACTAAGCTGCATCGCTTCAATATCAGCTAACTCCAAGGGAGTTTGGTGTCCACATAAAATGCTCTTATTACATTCACTTTAAAAATGATTGTTTTGAACGTGTTTATTTAACTTTAAAGTAACATTGTGTGCATATAGATCTAGCAGCTAGCGATTGTGCAACCACACACCAAATCAACAAAATGCAATCTAGCCACGTACTACTACTACTACTACGTAAAGATTCCACGTACTAAAACAACTATGTAAACATGCCGCCACCACCTACTACTAGTCTACTACTACGTAAAGATTTCACGTACTAACACTACGTAACAATTGTCATGATTACACTACATAAAGCTTCCATCACTTCTACTATGTAAGTATGTAACAATTTCATTGCTACTTACTAATACACTGTAGTCCACAACTACTGCTACTACCAGGATACTAGCATACAAAAGCTTTTTAAAGTTAAAATCAATCTCCAACATTCAACAAAAGGTTTAACAAATAACATAGGAATCTTGTGAAAGCACTAGATTCAGAAGCATCTAAGATCCCGTCACTAAAGTTCAGTCTACAATCTTAAATCCTGGTACCATCTCTAATTCAAGCATCACTGAGCAAAAAAATATCCTAACATAAACAATTCAGAACTTGCAAACATCAGAATATTGCTCACAAGTCACAACTCCACAAACCTAACCATTCCTCACCCCCAGTTTGTGGAAGAGAGGTCAACATAATGGACCACCCAATAGTCTCTTATCATGGTCAGATGAGATAACCATACCGAATGTCCGGGGCTACTCCTCTTATTGTCAAATGTCAATTGGTTTTGAATTTTTGAAATGTAGATCTCAGTTTGACTCCCACCATTTTCATAAACAGATTACCCCATTTTCACTACTCCATAATCATTCAAAAATTAAACAAATCAGCAATCTAATAAATTAACAATTTTTTCACAGAATTGAAACTTCACCAGCTAAATTTCACAACAACAAAACTCAATTACATCCAATGCTAAACTTCAACTCAACCTACAAGTCATTTTCATCAAATTCTATAAATATCTCATAGTAATTAACCATTCTAACTATCCCATCACCAAAAAACTTACCATCCCTTTAAAAATCACATGAAAAAACAATCAATTCAATAAACCCAACAAAATTCAATCTAAACTACAAAAATCAATTCAATTAATTAATTTATACCTTTGTAATTGTATTTGCGAAGGAGGGCACCAATAATATGACGAGTAGAATCATCAGCTTCAACAAGAAGAACTCTGAGCACCATTCTCGGCATTATATTCTCCCATTTCAAATCTTCAGACCCATTTTCTCTCTCCTCTTCTTCTTCCTCGACCTCCATTACTACGACATCCATGTCTTCCTCCAATTTACCCCCACTAAATTTAAATGCAAAAATCAATTAAAAATAAAATTAAATAAATTTAACCACCCCCTTTATCTTCTACAAAATACCCACAAAACCTAATCATAAACACTTGATTCTCCATTCTACAAACCCAGCTAATTTTTCACTTTTCTTTCTTTCACTGTACATTGACCCATCATCTTCTTCATCTTCTTTTTTTTAATAATTAATTTCCATTTTTGAAAAAATTCTCGAAATATCTAGTGGGTAATAAACGATCTTTGTTGAGCTAAATGATGTAAATTTTTGTAAAAATAAAAAATAGAGAAGTTTTAGAGAGTTGTAGTTTGAAGTTTGAAGAAGAGAAAAGGAAGAGACTTTAAATTTGAGCCGCAAAAACCGCAGAAAATATCTGATGAGAAGAGGAGAGAGAATATGAGACAGAAATCAAAAGCGGGGCCGCCATTGGTTTCTGGTTGGTTGTTGCTGAGTTGTCTTATTCCTGATCACTAGTTTTCTTCTCTATCGCACATGCTATCATTTTATTTTTATCTTTTTTTTTTTTTAATAAGCGTACGAATTACTGAGTGAAGGTTTTTTGATCTTCTTATGACTATATAAATGATGTACAATGATGTATTGATTTGCACTATATGACCCCTATGTCACTCTTGTTACACGTAACACCATTAGTAGATCGTGTGGTAATTTACGTGAAAGTGAGATTACCATTCATATATAAGGTAAAAGTTAAGTTAACGATTTAGACAATATAACAGTTGGAAAAGTAAAAGAGTTTTTTTTCACTAAAGAGCTCGTTGTGAGGATTAAGTTGATTCTTAAAATTGAAATATACAAGTAATTTTTGTATTACTAGACTATTATTATGCTTTGTTTGTTGATTTACAAATGAAATTACTAAAAATGCAAGTGTAGGGTACCAATGAATATTAGAGGAATAAGTGATTACTTTGATAGGGTTATTGATTGGATTACCACATGAGATGAATTATAAACAACGAGAGTACTTTAGTTCAATAAATTTGATATGTTTCAAAATGGTTATATGAGGACTCATCTACAATGATTTAAGGGTTTATTAATTACGATTTTACTTTGCTGGTAGTTGGTTAATTAATTTATTTGTCTAGCTAGATGAATTAAATAGTAGATACTTTAACAACACTTTAAATTATCTCTTTTACCCAACATCAAAATAGCTTATTGTAATAATTGCTCAAATAGCTCTTTTATAAAGTTAGATGAACATCTTTCAACTTATTGAACTCCGATAAGGGTCTGTTTTCTTGAGCTTAATTTCTGTTCAGTTCAGATTCAATTAGTTCAGTTTAGCTCCAACTAGATCAGTTTAATTCACTTCAATTTAATAAATCAAAACGGGCTCTAAGTTATTTATATCATCTAAATTTCAAAACAACAAAAAGATTTTGGTATCTCATTCAAGCCATCTAATTGCTACTAAAAACAAAAATCTCAACAATCATCACTAGTTCACTATCATATAGAGTCAAGGAGTATATACTTTGAATATATCAACATATTTAATAATCAAAATATATATTGACAATTTGACATGTAAAATATTTTAAACTATTCTTTACTTTATATATTACTCCGTTGTAGATTAGATGTGTCACTCAAATTAATTGCGAAGTGTACTGCGAAGTTGAGTCCGGTGTGAATGTGAGATCTTTCGGTCCATCATTTTTATGAACCCATAAATATACTGCCGTATCTTAAAAAGGATGGTGTAATATTTGTTGGGCTCAGCATTGAGGCACGTGTCATGCAAGATTAGTAGCTCGGGCCTAGCGTAGGATATTTTTTTTCTCGCACATGGTTACGTCGACCAAGGTACTTGCTTCTTTGGTCATGATTGTGACACGTGTTGGGCTATTTTTTCAATCATTTGATTTATTAGTGGTTCTCATTTGTCTGGCCTTAAGGCGCGGTTTTTTTTTTTTAATCTTTTTTCCCTTTTATGTTTTAAATTGAAATGGACGAGGAAGACCGAAGAAATCTCATGACTAAGGGTCCGTTCTCATTGATTGAACTCAGTTGAACTGAAGTGAAATAAATATTTTATAAGAGAAGGAAATTAGGAGCTGAACTGAATTGAATTTCTACGTATGAGAACAAGCCCTAATCCCTTTTTTTAACTCCGTAGCATCACTTGTGTTGTTATTCGTAACTACTCCCTCCGTTTTTAAATACTTGCTTCATTTCTCCATGTGCAAAGTTTTAAAAGAAATTGGAAAAAATAGTAAAATATAGAGGTAGTGGAGTGGGTGAAAGAATAAAAAAATATTCTCCCTCCTTTTTTTAAGTGTTACACTTTTCATTTCCGGTCGTGTTTTTTTAAGCGTTACACTTCCTTTCTTTTTGCAAAAAATTACATTAAAATACTATCTCTCTCTCCTCTCATGGTCCCCACCTAAACCCACTACTACTTTTTTATTTTATCTTTCCTCTTACATTCATCACTTTTCAATAAACTATTAACCCAACTATTTTTCTTTTACAATTTTTTTAATACTCCAACTACCCCATTTACCTCTTATTTTATTTAATTCAATTAAATTGCCTAAAACTATATGACGGTCAAACTGTAACACTTAAAAAAAACACGGAGGGAGTATAAAAAGCAAAACTAGTGGAGATAATTAGACGAGAGAAAATATGAAATTAATAAAATATGATTTATATTGAGCCCACTAGGTGAGAGAAATAAATTAAATATTGTAAAAGTTTTCTAAATAAAGAAATTAAGCAAGTATTTTAAAACCATCGGGAAAAAAAAAAGAACAACTACTTTAAAATGAATTGGGCCTGAATTAAACTATTTATTAGAGTAGACAATTAGAATTTAAACTAAAGTGAATTCAAATAAAGTTGAAGAAAACATGTCCTTACTTGCAGGCTTATCACATACTCACCCTATTAATGTTTTCATGGAACATTTCTCTAGTAACAAATTGTCTAAAGATCCATACTTTTTAAAGTAATGCCACGTAATAATAATGGATAAAGTAGTGTAGAATCTAGTACTCTACTCCGTAGGCTAGACAGGAAGGATGTTACGTGAAGTTTCTTGATGTCTTTGTAAGGAAACAATAGTACAACACATTATTTTAGTTCAGTACAACTCCAATCAGTTTATTTTAGTTCATTTTTAATTTCTTTGTCTCATAAAATATCCAGTTTAATTCAGCTTCAATCAGTTCAGTTCAGTTCATTTCATTTCAATTTTAATTTCTTTCTCTCATAAAATATTCAATCCATTTCAGTTGAGCTTAGTAAATCAAATTAGGCTCTACAACCCGAGTGGCTTTACTTGCTATCCATTATTCCACATAATATTTCCTTTTTAGAATAACTAACACATCTTTTAAACTGTTTATCAAATAATTATCATGTTACTTTACGTTTGATTATATATAAACAAAATTCTATTCGCAGCAGCATTAAATTGAATTTATCTTATTCAGGATTTGTTTGGTTGGAAAAAAAAAATATTGCGGAATTAAAATCATAGTAGGAATTTAGAACAGACGTTTGTTTGGTTAGCTATAAAAAGTGATATGTACTAATTAAATTACCAATATCCCCCTTGATAACTCAAAAGTCAAAATTTCCATAAGTTGCAAACTCCTTCATAGTAACAAACAATGCAATTCCTAGAAGATTGAAAGTGAGAATTTTAATTTAATGAAATGCAGTTGCCTATAAAAAAATATGTTCCCATATTAAACAAACAATATCTCATTATAGTGCACAAACTTTTCTCACTATCACGTTTGATTGTTTGTTTTTTATTTATTTAAGTTATAAATAACAACAATAAACTTCTCTATACATTAAATTAATTATTTTTAAGATCCTTAACTATTATGGAGATTTTTTTTTAATTACTTGGTATTGGAAGTGTGTCAATTATTCTAAAGTGGAGAGAGCAATTTAAAATATTATAACTTGTAAAGGTGTAATTTTTTAACAACAAAAAAAATCGTAATTAAATGTTGATGGAAAAATAATGAGGAATTAAGGGGAGTTGGTTTTATTTTATTTTATTTTTTATTTAGGAAAAGGGGAGTTGAAATGTCATCCCACACAATATTTATTTAGGAAAAAAAAGGCAAATCAATTAGTCAATCGAACTCTAAAATATTTTGAAGAAAAATGTATTTTGTATATTTTAGTTTCATTACTCCGTTTGTGACAAAAAAATAAAAATGTTTGCGTATCATGTCATGGATCAAACACAAGATCTAGTACTTGTAGAATAATTTATTAAATATTTAATTTTTAGTGATATAAAGTGGGTCCATAGCTCAGTGGTAGAGCATTTGACTGCAGATCAAGAGGTCATCGGTTAGAACCCGGTTGGGCCCTATTTTGTTTTTTTAATTTTTATTTTTATTTTTAAAACGTGATTTAACTCTTACTAATAAACATGTTTGATAGGAAACATAAAATATCTCCTTTCTTTTTTTCCATCATCTTGCCTTTTGATCTACTTCTTCCTCCAATCTATTTGTTGTCATTTGAATGTAATTTGCTTAAACTCAACTTTTTAGGTGGAAGGAAATAATAATTCGGTCATCACTTGACCATGAATTGAATTCTTCCCCTCGTTTGTAAATGTGTAGTTTTCATCATCTATGTACATGAAAGACGTTGAAGCAATTGGTAATTGCAATGATTTGATTTTGTTGGAATAAGATGTGTTCTTACGTTGTGAGAATTGGGGGGCGGGGACTAGTGCATGGCTAATATTGTCCTAACAACTATCATAAGAGTGGGATAGATCAATAACTAGGAAAAATCATGTGGAAAGTCAATAGTCCGTATAATTGTATAAGTTTAAAGTATACTAGTTTAGAAGTTTGCATTTCAATCATAACTCCCACTAAAAGCACTTTGAGGTGGGATTTCCAAAGGACCTAATTCACTATCCTAATTCGGGTGTATATATGAGAGATCCATACCGATTTAATAAAACCCTTATCATTACCAACAAGAAAAGAGGGTGATACTTTATAATTTATCATTGTAAATATTGTTGTTGTTAGCCTATATTCAATTTTATGAGCCACCAAACTTGGAGTTGGTGGGGAGTTCACCTTGTGACTTTTAAGGTCACGAGTTCGAGCCCCACCAACTATAAAATGCTTGGGAGTAAGGAGATTCCCTAATAACTCCCCCCTCTACTCTCATGCGATGACTTGCGAAATTGGGCTGGCTAAACCTGTGAAAGGTAATGGTTCAGTTGATCCTTCATCTTACTTTAAAAAAATAAAATAGAGCCAAAAATTTACGGAGTAGGAGAAATCTAGGTATAGTACAAGTACATACTAAGTAGTTAATACGTAAAAAATACCACATGTTTATCAATTGGGGATGTAGCTCAGATGGTAGAGCGCTCGCTTAGCATGCGAGAGGTACGGGGATCGATACCCCGCATCTCCATTAATCTTTTTTCCCTTTATATTTTTAATCCTTTTTTTTTTCTTTGCCCATCAACTAAAATAAACTCTTCAATAGTTCTACTATTGATTTCATCTACTTCGTATGATCTATCAGTCAATAATTCTTCAATCTTTAATATTGAATTTAATCTTCTGTTATGATTCTTATGAACTACAATAGCAATAATCAACCTTTAATTTTTTCAACATGACAAATAATTCAGCCGCCTCACAATCTCCGCCGGCGACGGAGGAACTCGACCTTGACTCATTTCTCCGGCGACACAACGCCGCCTCCTCCGACGAAGACGATGGCGGAGACAATCGAAATTCCGACATTCTTCATCGCTCAATCGATGACATCCTCAACGATTCCTCTTCCGATTCTGATCACGACGCAATTTCGGTATCTTCTTCTGTTTCTCAAACTAAAACCCTAAATTCCGACAATAAACAATTGAATTCGACGCAAAGTAAGTATAGTTTAATTCAAAGGTTAAAATCTGATGAATTTGCTGGAAGTTCTAGTAGAAGACCGCCGATTCCGACGCAAAATGTGCGGAATTCGTCGATTTTCGGCGGTGGAGTTAGTAGGAAGCCTGGGGCGGCGTTTGCTGCTGCTGCTGCGGCATCGAGGAATGTTCGGATGCCTCGTGCTGCGGTGATTAAGTCGAGGAGAGCTTTGAGTGTGAGTTTGGAAGGGAAGGTGTCGGATGGTGATGAATTGTTAGGGTTTGTTAGGGATGATGTGAAATCCGAGGGTGGTGATGGTGATGGTGATGGCAATGTAAGTGAGGTTGTTGGAGGAGTGATTGAGGAGAGGGAGGATGGTGATGAGTCTGGCAGTGTGATGGATGTTGGAAATGGGGAGATGATTGCTTCACTGGAGAAGCAAGAATTTTCGGAATTCGAGGATTTGAGTGTCGAACAGGTGATTGAAAAGAGAGAGGATGATGAAAAGGTAGGTAGTGAATTAGAGAAGGATGGGGAGTTAGTGTCTTGTTCTGAGAAGAATGATGATATTCATGAGTGTTGGGGTGTGGAGAGGGAAGATAGTGTGGAGTTTGGGGAGAAGAGAATTCGGCATTCGTTAGATGATGAAGGGGAAGAAAGGAATGAGGAGAAGAATGTGGTTGGTTTGCATGAGAATTCTGTTGATGAGGGAGGTGGTTTGTCTTTAGAAGTTGAGAATGAGAATAAAGAAGAGCAGGATTTTGGGTTTGGGGTGCAGCAAGTACAGGAAAGTGAGAAGAGTGTGGTTTTAAATAGTGATGAATTTGGTTCTGGAAGAAATGAGGGCTCTGTAAGTGATGAGGTTAAGGAGCTTGGGCTTGCTGAGGATAGGATTGCTGAACTAGAGAGCGAGTTTGATAGTACAAAGACACAGGAGAAATTGCTTCCTGTCAAGAAGCAACTAGAATTAGCAGAAGAACTTGAGATAAAACAAGTTTCTACGGGTCAGGATTGGGAGGAAGGGGCTGCTGCGCAGCCTATGAGGTTGGAAGGTGTGCGCAGAGGTTCGACTGTTCTGGGATATTTTGATGTAAATGCTGATAATCCAATTAGTCGAGCTATTAAATCTCAAGCATTTATTCGTGATTATGGTACCTCACAGGTCATTGCAGTGCATCTCAATTACATTGCTTTGGGGATGTCTAAGGGTGTCGTCGTTGTTGTGCCAAGTAAATATTCTGCACATCTTCCTGATAACATGGATCCAAAGGTTCCTGCTTTATCTTTCACCTCAGTGTTAATTTATTACATGTCTCAAAGTTTTACCTTGAGGGATGCCTGCTTACTTTTTGTTTCTGTTACCTGTATTATGCTCTGATGATCTATGAATTTGTTATGATCTATGTACCTTGTTTAGTTTATTTTGAGTGTGATACATTTTTTTTTGTTGGCTTACCCTGCAATATGATAAATTTGCTTGTAATTTGTTAATGAATATTTGATTTCATACTTGGGTTCATTTAGTGCTCTGATCATACTTCTTTCATTGATTTGAGAAATTTAATGACCTAATTACCTATTTCACGAAGGAATCCTTTTGGCTAACATCCTATCCTATATTGTATTAACTTTTTCAGATGTTGTTGCTTGGTGCACATGCTGACCGATCCCAAGTTCCTGTAACTTCTATTTGTTTCAATCAGCAAGGGGATCTTCTTTTAGCAGGGTATGGTGATGGTCTTATTACATTGTGGAATATACCTAGGGGAACTGTAGCTAGGGTTGTCACTGGAGAGCATGCCGCACCTGTGGTACATACACTATTTCTGGCGCAGGATTTTCAAGTGACTCGCCAATTTAAAGCCGTTACTGGTGATTGTAAAGGATATGTTCAGCTACATGAATTCTCCTATATGCCAATAATTGGGGTGACAGTCAAAACACTGGTGAGAACTTTTTTTTTTTAAGCATACGTATTTGTTCTGAAAGTGCCTTGCAATATTTGATTGTGAAATTAGTTCTTGAAAACTGAGGCACATTATTGTGTCTTCTTGACTTGATGGACAATTGACATTTATGCTGTTGCTGAAACAGTGTCTTCTTGATGGTCAAAGGACAGGCACAGTGTTGTGTGCCTCACCACTTCTACCTGATGAATTTACTTTCTCAGGCAATACCACAGGCTCAGGAAGCAGCATAGGTGGTGTCATGGGTGGTGTAGGGGGAGCAGCCCCTTGGAAATTCTTCAATGAAGGTTCCTCCTTGTCTGAAGAAGGTGTGGTCATCTTTGTCACCCATCAGACTGCTCTGGTGGTATGAAGTCCTCATATAGCTGGACAAATTCCGTGTACTATTTATTCATACATTCATGCTTGCATTACTTTTTGTTCCTTTTCCATTATGTTGAAGCGATGAGTATGGGATGCAGGTGAGACTTAAACCTAGCTTGGAAGTCTATGCACAACTTTCTAGGCCAGAAGGCGTTCGGGAGGGTTCTATGCCATACACTGCTTGGAAATGTACCACAAAGTCACGGGGTTCCTCCACAGGTATGCAAAGATGTCTTTTTTTACTATTGTGTGACAGGTGGTTAATATGTTACATTATTGCAGAAAATGTGAATCCTGAAGCATTGGAGAGGATCTCACTGCTTGCTATAGCATGGGACCGGAAGGTTCAAGTTGCCAAGCTAATAAGGTCAGAACTGAAAGATTCTGAAAAGCCAGAACTTAAAGAAAGTGGAAAGTGGACACTTAGAGTGTGTGGAAAGTGGACTCTTGAGAGCACAGCTGTAGGTTTGGCATGGCTTGATGATCAGGTACATGTCTCTCCTCATTCAGAAGGCTTTATTTATTTATTTATAAACAATAAATAAGAACATTTTAGGCATGTTTTTTTTAGTTCATTTTTTGTTGTTGGAGGCATATATATAAGTGGAGTACTGGCCGTGGAAGTTGCCGGAAATATGACTTTTTTTCTGGCACAGATGTTGGTGATTCTTACATTGACTGGTCAACTTTGCTTGTATACAAGAGATGGGACCTTGATCCACCAAACTAGTTATGCTAGCGATGAAACTGGAGGAGATGATCTTATTTCATTTAACACGTATTTTACCAATGTGTTTGGCAACCCTGAGAAAGCGTATCACAATTGTCTAGCAGTCAGAGGAGCATCTATCTATATACTTGCACCCAGGCATGTTGTTGTTTCTCGCCTTCTTTTATGGCGAGAACGTTTTGAGGTGTTGCGCAATGCAGGAGATTGGATGGGTGCCTTTAACATGGCTATGACATTATATGATGGTCAGGCTCATGGTGTTATTGACCTTCCCAGAGACTTGAACGCTATACAGGAAGCTATTATGCCCTATCTGGTGGAGTTGCTCTTTTCATATGTAGATGAGGTTTTCTCCTATATTTCAGTTGCCTGCTTCAACCAGATTGACAAAGAAGAAGAGGCGGATAATTCTCTCACAAATAGCAATACTGCATCTTCTGAAATAAAAGAGCAATTTACCCGTGTTGGTGGAGTAGCAGTTGAATTCTGTGTTCATATTAGAAGGACTGACATTCTTTTTGATGAAATATACTCAAAATTTGTAGCAGTTCAGCATAGAGGTATGTTGACACCATGTTTTTTTTTGGATATATTCTGCAATGTGTTCCAAAGCTTCTTGTTGATGACTGTTCATTGTAATGCTATGCTGCTACATGAAATGTACTTCATGCACAAATAACGTTCATGTTTGCTTTTATTGTTGAACTTTGACTACTTGTGAAAAGAAAAATGAAACACATGAAATATATATATTAATGCAATCCGATTATTAATCAAATACTACTTTTATAGTAAGTTTTTCATAATAATTTTACTTAAGAATTCCGGAAATAAAAAGTGGTCAAGCTCAATGTAGGAGATGGAACACAACAGTTTTTTGTGGGCGGAACAGCTGGAAATTTTAGGCTTTCTTGCAATAGACATTTTTTCTTTGTTTGCTAGTTTTTGATATTGTGCATACAGGTAGTCGTAAGTTGTAAAATATCCTAGAGTTTGTTTTGGAGATTCGGAGATTTGTTTCTTGTTCCTGATGTAGTTTGCTGCTTTGCTGAATCACAATATTATATTTGTTTACTTCTTCCTTTCTCACCTCTGTAAAAGAGAAAACAAAATGTGATACAAGTTCAATGTTTAAACTGGCCTGGATAGTAGTATTTTGACATTTGCTGTTTTCTTTTTCATTTTCTTTATGAAGATACATTTTTGGAGCTTCTGGAACCCTACATATTGAAGGATATGCTTGGATCACTGCCTCCTGAGGTATTCCTAATCCCAAATTTAAATACCTTTTCATACTTAGTTTTTTAAAATTGCCTTTCCTTGAGAAAAAGAATAATAATCTTGATTGATCTTTGTTCCCTTCCTTAGATTATGCAAGCACTAGTAGAGCATTACAACAGCAAAGGATGGCTGCAGCGAGTGGAGCAATGTGTTCTTCACATGGATATTTCATCCTTGGATTTTAATCAGGTCATATACATCTTCTATATTGCAGATAGTTGAAGCAGTTAACTTCATTTGGTAGCTTATGTTGTCACAAACCAGATCTTGTACTGATTTGAATTGCAAAAAATTTAGGTTGTGAGGCTATGTAGAGAGAATGGTTTGTATGGTGCCCTGATATACCTTTTCAACAAAGGGCTAGATGATTTCAAGACTCCTTTGGAAGAATTATTGAATGTGTTAAGAAATCATAAAAGAGATGCTGCTACTGCTGCTGTTGGGTGTGTAGCTTGGAGATGCATTCCCTTGATTTTGTTATACGTTTTGAGTATTATCTATCATTAATTAGATTATAAAATGCAGGTACCGAATGCTAGTTTATCTGAAGTACTGCTTTTTGGGCCTTGCTTTTCCACCAGGTATATATTGGTTGATTATCTGCAGGGTTGTCATAAAGATGTACTGAAGAAGATTGGGCATTGCTGTTTACTCATGTGATTATCATGGTCATTGTGATTATCGATTTTGTTGCTTCATAATAATTTCAATCTTCATGCACGGGGTTTCTTTAAAAACTAAAAACACATTTTAATTACAACTAGTGTGTGGCCTGGGTGATGCCTGGGTTTTACTTTGAATATCAATAATTATTATTTGAGCTATATAATATAAACTATATAACTAAAATAAAAGTGTACACTAATAACTATGAAACTAAGTGCTCTCAAATTGATGTTAAATACAATGTATCTAGTATATTATAATTGAATATGAAACATAATTACAAGATAGCAAAGATTGTCAAAACATTAATTTATTTTCTTATTGGTCGTGTTCAAACCTTATACTCCGTAATAAATATTTTTGTTGCCATTAAAACATGTTTATAGTATAATGGATGATGTGTCATACAATACATGTGAAAGGTGATGTGGCATATATCTAATACATGTGAAGGCCTGAAAGGTGCAGTGTGGCACATATTCTGTTTTAGGAACGCTTTTTAATAGATAAGTATAGATTTCCTTCCTGCACTTCTCATTGGACTTGATGAATTTATGTTTCACTGGGATGATTGTCTCAGGATGGAGTATTGTTTCAAGGAATACATCATCCAAATAATGACCACTGGCACTCTTCTTTTTTGTCTATTCAATGGGATACTTTGTGATACTGTCTGAATATGTTTTCGGTATTGACACAATACTATGATAGCTTCATTGTTTATGATTTCTCACACAGTTGATATTCATTGCTGCTAAAGAAAAGAATGGTTTATGTTTATGTTAGACTTCACTTGTTTTTTCTCATTTCTCATTGCTGTCATGTAAGGTTTCACTCCGTGTATGGCTGTCACTTCAGCTATTGCATCCAGACTCTGCTGAATAAATGATATTGATTTCCTAATATTCAGAGATAAAATTAATGACAGATATAGGGTAACAAAACATGGGATATTTTATAATAATCTTCTCTTGTTAATATATTTAGTTTAACAGTTGACATCCTCAAGAAATTTCTGGGGAATTTCCAACAATCTTGTGATGATTTAAAGTTTCTTCTCCCCATTTGGCTCTTTTTATAATTTTCTTGTGATCACATGACTTCAACCGTGTATCATGAAATATATCTGTGTCTGTTATGCAGGACATGGAAAACTCCCTTCTAAGCGGCTCCCTTCTCTTAGGATGGAGCTTTTGCAATTTCTGCTGCAGGATTCTGGTGGCCCAAAGTCACAGACAGGCGCTAGCTTAACTTCAACTGGAGCTTTCCTGAACTTGCATTATCTACTAGAGTTGGATACAGAGGCTACATTAGATGTTTTAAGAATGTCGTTTCTGGAGGATGGGCAATCCAGGCTTGATAATTCTCTGCCTAACTATTCAGATGCTACTGATGACAATCCGATTGAAAATGAATTAATTGCTGGTGATCAGGATATGTTGGTTCAGAAAATTGTTGATGCTCTAGTTATTGTTCTTGATGTAGATATTTCTCAGTCACTCAGATCTACGGGCAATGATGATGCTAGCATGGTTGTATGGCCTTCAAAGAAAGATATAGGTTTTCTCATTGAGTTTGTGGCTAGTTATGTTGCATCTAAAAGAGCTAATGTATCAAAGAGTGTGTTGAGCCAAATATTGGAATACCTCACTTCAGAGAATCATCTTGCACTTGATGACTGTGAACAGAAACATGAATCTAAAAAAAGAAGGGAGAAAAAAGTACTTGCTCTGTTGGCCGCAGTTCCTCAAACAGAGTGGAATGCATCCTATGTCCTGCACCTGTGTGAAAAAGCTCAATTTTACCAGGTGTGTATACGCTTTGTGTTCTTTTATGTGGTTTCTAAGTAAAAAAAGAAACATGCTTGACATTTGAAATTACACAATATAGCTGTATAGTGCTGACTATCTTCCCTATTTCAGGTTTGTGGCTTAATCCACACCATCAGACAGAATTATCTTGCTGCTTTGGATTGCTATATGAAAGATGTGGATGAACCAGTGCACGCATTTTCATTTATTGATGGTATATTACTGCAGCTCAGTGAAACTGAGTCTGCTGCTTTCCAATCATCAGTCATTTCTCGGATTTCAGAGCTAGTCACTTTAAGCAGGTAGATCTTATAATGGAATCCTAAAGTTTATCTCCCTTTGTTTTGTGGAGCATGTGAAATGTTTTGATGTTGTGGAATTAAACAACCATTTGTTTGTTCTTTAGCTGAAAAAAGAAATTTTGTTTGTTTACTTATTGTTTTTTGATCTGGCATTTTCAGAGAATGCACATTTTGCTTGGTGATTTATCACTTGAACAAAGAAAGGGGACATATTCTCTCTAATCTTCAATCAACCCCAAGAAGCCTTTTCCTTTATCTTAAGACTCTTTTTGAGGTTTATAATTCAGGCACCCTCAACTTTTCTTGTATAGAGGGGGATGGTATCTTTGATGGTCCCTGGGGCAGACAAAATGATGGGAATATTACTCTGGATGCTTATCTAGAAAGAATTTCTGAATTTCCGAAAATAATACAAAATAACCCCGTTGAAGTGAATGATGATATCGTTGAACTATACCTCGAGGTGAGTCTGTTCACACATCCTTCCTCTTTATTTTATTTATTTTTATATATTTTTTTGGTTGGAGGGTTGGGGGTGTGAATGGAATATATGGATTAAAAAAACAGTTGCTTGCTTGCTTGCTGTGGCCTGTGGGCCTTAATGTTACACTTACTATTTTCTGCTCTTCAAGCTGTTGTACTTACTCTTATAAGGTTCCTTGACGTGAGTTATCTGCTACAATTTTTTTTGCAATTACTAGAATTCTTCAGTAACATAAATATCTAACTCAAATTTGGCTAACATTACTAAGTATCATATGCTACCCAACTATTGCCACATTTTTTTCTCTGCATCTACAGACTGTTCTTTGTATTGTAGCTACCTTCAGCACAAAGAGTTTTGGCTCCCATAAGTATTTAAAAACGGAGGGAGTATATTAAATTCTTATTTAACCAGATTGTGTTTTTTTTTTTTTTCCCTACAGCTGTTATGTCAGTATGAACCTGATTCAGTTCTCAAGTTCCTAGATACTTTTGAAAATTATAGAGTTGATCGCTGTTTGTTGTTGTGCCAAAGATATGAAATCGTTGATGCTGCTTCGTTTTTATTAGAAAGGGTCGGTGATGTTGGAAGTGCTCTTCTGCTTACCCTCTCTGGACTCAATGATAAATTCATCATGCTTGGTACGGCAGTGGGAAATACAATTTCAGACATGGATGTAGGCAAATATATACATAAGGATTGCTTTGCTGCTGCTTTGGGGTTGAAAGAGGTGGATAGATTTTGTATTTTCTATATAAAAATGTTCTTAATGTTGTTTATTGCATCAGATAATAAATTAATAATGTGATATCTATTTCCTTGCAGGCACAAGACATTAAAAAAGTACTACATTCATGTATTGGCCTTTGCCAACGCAACTCACCTCGTTTGAATCCGGAAGAGTCTGAATCGCTTTGGTTCCATGTGCTAGACTCGTAAGTTCTGTATCCTTTTGTCTATTAACAGCTCATAATTGTTTGGTTCCTTGGATGCTTTTTTTCCCCTTGAAAGTTGATTGTTGTGGAAGTCATTTTGTTCTTCCTGTTGACATGACTGAACTGTACAGCAAGTAAGATTAGGTAATTTTTTATTATCGCACGACAAAAATAATAACATGGCACTAAATAAGTGTATATTGCAACTTATATTAGTGCATCTAGGTCTATTTCCAATTTGCTTCAGTATCTCAGTAAAACATTACTTCGTAAAAGAAAAGATAAGGATTTTCCCTCTGGATTTTAACTATTCCCTTGCCAGATGAGGAAAAAAAATTTACATTAGGTGATGCATGTAAATGACTAAATGGTTTTAAAATAAGTGAATTGGGACATCTCAATTCTCAAATAACACTGATCAAAATGCGACGGGTAAGGGCAGCTTAGCCATTGCAGGGATAGTATAATTAATTTAAAATTTAGATCTGTGAAAAGATATTGAGAGCAAGTTGCAAACAATTAACATATATCAATAGTCAAAAGCAATAGCATGTTATGCCTCAGTTGAGTAAGAATTGGATCTGAATTTTGTTTGCATGAATTAATAGATTAGGAGAAACAGGATGAAGAGAGAAATTTACAAATTATGTTGTATGGTGGAGCTTAGTGGTCTGGGAGGCGGAGGAAAGAGATAGTGCACTTATAAGTATCTACTATTTTGGATTTTTAAATTTTTTTTTTTTGGCGGGGGGGGGGGGGGGGGGGGGGGGGGGGGGGGCGTTCAGTAGTAGATGGGTTTGTTGAGAAGAAAAATGAGATAATTATTGCAATTAGTAATTGTGTTAAGTAATTGATGGTACAAATGCGATTCTTTGTTTTTTAGGGGAGATGATAAAATAAAGAAATACTTGTAAGATTTAAAAAAAAAATGAAAATATGATCCTTATATTTCTGAAGAAGCTTCACATGCTATCTGTTAGGCGGTAACTATTTATATTTGCTCTCAGGTTTTGTAGACCCTTACTTATTTCTCAAGGTAACTCTGAAAATGGCATTGCAACTCAGTCTTCAAACTTTAAAGATGACTTGGAGGCCAATTCCATCTCATGGACGATTTACAGGACTCAGAAATGTGCTCCTGTTCTGAAGAGAATATTTTCTGAATTTGTCAAGGAAATTGTTGAGGGAATGATAGGATATGTTCGTCTTCCATCTATCATGGAAAAACTCCTGTCAGATAATGGAAGCCAGGAATTTGGTGATTTTAAGCTGACCATTTTAGGAATGCTGGGAACATACAGCTTTGAGAGGAGGATTCTGGTAAGTACATTTTGCCATTTGAAGTTTAATTCTTGGTTGTTGAATTCCTATTTATGTGGCTGTATTAAAGACATTTACTTTCAGAATTCAGATTATTGAAAGTAGTAAGAGTATTTAGAATTTTGAATTGTTAGGCATAAATTTTGTGTGAGACTGTTAACGATTGATTCTTAGAGGTTCAGGTGTTGAATGGTATGTTAATAAATCCTCATCGTTTATTAGGTGGCCTAGTAGATAAGGATTCATTTTTACTACTGACCTAGTGACCTATGGGGATCTAGCACCTTGAGTGGAGATAGCTAGCCCACTTACATCTCTGTCAGCTTAAAACATCTATTTTTTTTCCTTTCTCTCTCTTTTTTTTTTTATTTTTAAATGTTTAAGGATGCTTAATTTAATTCTATTACAGCGTCACCTGTGCCTGCTGTCCTTGTTTACACTAGCTTGAAAAGCATGAACTTCTGGGGCCATTATGCTTCTACCAATTTTTTTTTTGTTGGGGGAAGGGGGGGGGGGGGGGGGGGAGTGTAATAAACACACGTGACTTGATTCCAGTTCTGACTTCTCTTTCAATTCACTTTTCACCTATATTATAATGCTTTCAGGATACCGCCAAATGCTTGATAGAGGATGATACATTCTATACTATGAGTTTACTCAAGAAAGATGCTTCAAAGGGTTATGCCCCTCGAAGTCTTCAGTGCTCTATATGTAATTGCTCCTTCAAGAGCTCTTCAAATTCTGGAATCCGGGTGTTCAATTGTGGTCATGCAACCCATATACAATGTGATGTTCAGGAGAATGCTACAAGTAGTCAAAGTTCCTCTGGTGGATGTCCAATATGCGTGCATAAAAAAAAGATTCGGAAAGCAAAAGGTAAGATGGCAGAACTAGGTTTAGTGAGTGCTTCACCATCTACATCCCGACGAGCGCAGGGAACAAGTATTCTTCACCCTCGTGAACTGGATGTATTTGAAAACTCCACTGGCCCTCAAACTTCAAGAGTACGTATTTTGTGTATTTTCTACCTCTTTAAGTTTTTTCTGTTCTATTTCTATATGATAAGCTATCAAAATTTGATTGGAGCTATCTTTTGTGACCAGTTGGCAGTTGTCATGAATCTTACCTTGCAATTGCACAATAAGAACCAAAACAAATCAATGTTCCTGTAACAATTACACCTGTCATGTAATTGGTCCTGTGCCCATGCAAGGATCATTAATAAACCTCACTTAAGAGTTCCACAGTCATTTCACTTGTGTTTTTTCTGGCATGAAATATAATGCCTTCAAAAAAAAAAATTATAATGTATTTACCTACTTGAGACTGTATATCTTGAACAGACAAATTCATCCCCCTTTTTTGGGTCTTAATTTAATTCCTATCAGGCTATAGTTAGCTGATCAAAAAGAATTTACTGCTATAGAAGTAATAGAACTCATCCTCACATAAATCATTCTCATCCATGTTTCTGTTACCTCTTCATCCATTGCATTTCAAGACTTACATCCTCTTCTTATCTAGAAGATAGCCCCTCCCAAGATTTCCAATCCCAGCTACACCTTGAATAGCTGTTATGATCCTTCTCATCTCATCTTCTCTAGAATTTCTACAACATAATTACTTTTTAACTTCAAAGTATTTATTACTCATTTAAATTTACACTTAAATCATTCTCATCTAGGTTTATGTTACCTCTATTCCCGAAGCATAGTCTATAACAGCAGCTTATCTGTTTAGCATTGATTTTGCTCATTTTGAGTCGTTCACCGGCTTTCCAAATTATCTTATCCTGTCTTGCTATACTGCAGTTTGAGATCTTGAATAGTCTTCAGAAGAACCAGAGATTGGTTACTTATGATACCATGCCCCAGCTGAGGTTAGCACCTCCATCTGTTTACCACGAAAAAGTAAACAAAAGAAATCATTTTACAGCAGGGGGAAGTAGAGAAGGCTTGATGGATTCTGAAAAGCATAGTAGAAATAAGCAACTCCGAGATCTCAAAGTAAAAGGCTCGTCAGTTAGGTTCCCTCTCAAATCAAAAATATTTGGTAAGTTTATTGTTTATTCCTCCATATCATGTTTATTGGCTATTTACGCTGCTAATGCATGGTAAGAACATGCTGCAGGCAAGGAGAAGACTCGTATCAACTAACCATGCTGCTAGTGTTGGGATCAAGCTCGGTACATTTCACTGGTCATATTGAATATTTATTAACATTTTCACATATTAGTATCCACCTTCTGATTAACTCATTTTTGTTTCAATATCGTTGAGAGTAGAGACATCAAGCCCCCTGTCCTTATAATCAATTGTATCCCTGTATATAGCTATTCAAGTTAGGTAGACTAATAAACCATATTTGGGAATGAATTCATTGTAATATCTTCTTAGTGTTGATTTTCTAATACATTAATTTTTGGCAAAATTTTCACTTTTGCATTTTATTTTATTGGTAGTACTCGAAATTCTCTTCACTTCTGCATTTGCAATCTTGATTCTGATAAATTTTATATGCTGCAATATATGCTGCAATTAGCTTTTGACCTGTCGATCTTCTTTCTACTTGCAATTACAGCCTATTTCAACATGTGAACGTATGAGCCTGAAGTCGAATTCTTGCTGTCTCAATGTCAAATTTGGCTAAAACACTACTTGTATAGTTGTATGGTTACGTAAAACTGTGGAAGAACTCTTTTGTTTCAGCAAAAATAAGTTCAATGTCACCACAGCTTCATTGCCTATAATCTCTACCATTAAGATCTGTAATTCTGTAAATATTAAGTCTAAACCATATACGGGGTAATAATTTCAGTTAATGATCAACGGGTTTCGCAATAAATAAAATCGGTACACGAAGCAAAAACCACATCAAACAATTTAAAATTCCAAAAATTGCGCTTTATTGGTGAGGTAAGTAGAGAAGTACACAGACATTGTTGAAATGGATTGCCTTCTGGAACTAAATTAAAGAGCAAAAATTTATACTCGTATAAAACAAGCTTAAATGCATCATGAAATCACAGTAACATAACGGAACCACCATAATATGAAAGGGCCAAAAATCAGTAGATTACTTTGTATTCAAAAGATGACTCAACATAATAGTAACAATAGCAAAATCTCAACATGTCTGATCTCCCAACATAAAAAAAAAAAAAGAAAATTAACAATAGATCTCTTGAAAATTGTAACTAATGTCATCATACTAATTAACTACGACAACGAAAAAAGACAGGTGCCTTGCAGCTTAGTCGAACAAGCTGAATCCCATGTCATCATCACTCTCTTCCTTGGGTTCCTCCTGCAAGGATAAAATATCAAACATATTAGCCAAAATTCTACAAGCAACGCCACAAAGGAAAAAACTAACAGAACAACAATATATGAAGTATATACCTTCTTCTCTTCCTTCTTCTCTTCTGCGGCAGGGGCAGCTGCAGCACCACCTGCAACGGCTGCAGCAGGGGCAGCACCTCCACCAGCACCTACATTCATGATAAGATCCTCAATGCTCCTCTTCTCAACTAGCTTGGCAAACAAATTTGGCCAGAAAGACTCGCATTCAATGCCAGCTGCTTTAACAAGAGTGGCAATCTTCTCAGCCTGCAAACAAAACATAATTCCCATGAGCACATGTAGCTAGCTTATACATGAACTCACAAAGCTGCTTGACCAAAAAAATTATCAAAAATTGCCAAGAACATTTTACAAGGCTGAAGGTAATAGATAAGCCAACAATGCATTATTCTTCAATACAAGTACCAGTTTAAATTAATTTCAATAAAGTAGGATAAAAAGATAAATATCTAACGCTAAATTGTACACCACCAAATAGAGGAATTGCACTCTAACTTCTAACTTAAAATAAACAATCAATTAAACCGCTAGAATCCTCCAAGCTCCAACCAACAATAGTCCAAAATTCGAATATTATATCAGATTAATAGCTAAAGAGTAATCAATTATGGAGAGAACTGAGGAATAGTACTCTTGCAGCATATAAATGAATTAGCACAGTAAAGAATAGACTATTGATAATTCAGTGAAACCATTACCAATATCCTATCTTCCATATCTTAACAGAAGCACTTAGCTAAGACAAACAATTTGCAAAAGTCCTAGATAACAATATCAACATGATCTGACAAACTGTTAAGGCTTTGGAAAGTTCCCAATACTTATAATAGATAATAGATAGTTAATAAAATCGATATAACCTAAATGCTAAAACCTAATACAACACTTTCTTAATACATACAAAGGTAGATTAAATCTTAAAATTATATTCCAGCTTAAAAGCAACCAGTTAAAGCTCTTGCAGTATATGAAGATCCAAACAGATAAAAATGTATAACAAAAAATCTCAAATTAACGAGCAAAACAAACACATAACACGATGAATTGCGATCGTAAAGCATTGTCAAAATAACAAAATCAAATCGAAAATAAATAAAGGAGCAGAACATTACAGTGACGGCGACTTCGTCATCGTGGAGGATAAGAGCGGCGTAAGTGCAAGCGAGTTCTCCGACCGACATTGTTAATTGAGTTTTGTAACGAAAAACACAAAAATCTCTGCAAAAACAATTTCCAGAAAAAGATACAAAAATATGAATAAGAAGATCAATCAAAGAAACTGGAGATTAAATTGAAGAAGAAGAAAGTGAATTACCAAAGGAAGAAGATGAATGTTCCTGCTTGCACGCGGCTACAATGGAGAGCAACTAGGGTTTTGAAGCAAAAAGAAGTAAGTGGCTATTTATAAGATGATTTCTCAGGGTTTTGAAGCTTTTATGCGGTAGGTCTTCTTTTCTGTTGTGGACTTTTTAAAGGGCCTTAACAAACCAGAGCCCATTAAACATGTTTAGGCCCATTTCTTCGATGACAGGGTTTTTTTTTTTAAAAAAAAATTAAGTATTTATGGAAGTCTATCCATTAATCCAATTAAGTTTTTTTATGGAAACATATTAAACAGAATAATTGGAAATTGGATGTTTTAATCATGATAAATTTTGGTTAAGCATAGGAGTATAGTATGTATCACCGTATGACATGCTGCTTTTTAACTCAATAAATATTTTATTAATTAATCGGTATAATGAGCTATTTTAAAGATTTTGCGAGTATTTGAGTGACTAAATAATTTATAATAGCTCTTATCAGTAAGGTGAGTTAGGAAACCTAATGTGCATCCATGTTGTTACAACATTTTATGGGTAATGAGATATAATTATACATTTGTACCCATATGTCCAATTTCCATTCAAAAGCTATACTTGTTGCTATCCGGTCATAAAGTTGAAAATGTTATTTGAAGATAAGATGAGGTATAGTTAAAAAAAAAAAAAAAAAAAATCAACATTTCCACCTTGCCCAAAATCACTTTAGGGCGTGTTCAGCAAAATATAGCTGTATAGGTAACTTTTAGCCGTGAAGGTAGCGATTAGATATGTAGGTAACTGTTAGCTGTGAAAATAGATAATTTAGGTATGAGTGTTCGGTAAAGTAGTAGTTGACTAGCTGTTACATATAAGAATCAATATTTTATTTTTAAAACTATACATTAAATATTCAACAGCTACCTTTAATTTCAAAAGCTAATAGTCCTAACTTTTCATAAAAGCTACCTCCACCACTAAAAGCTACTTGAATCACTACTTTGTCAAACACTCGCATTTTTAATTAAGTAGTGGTTTGGTCAAATCACTAAAAGCTACTCAAAAGTTAGCGCCGAACACGCCCTTAATGTCTTTAAGTACATCTTTGAAGGATCTACATTACAATGTAGAGAAAATGCTTTAGGTTAAAAATTTGGGCGCTTCAAGAAGGGATCAAAGCAACTCCTTCTATAGGATAACATTTTTCTTTGATTAGTTCAATTAGTTGGAATTCACTTCACAACAGCATATGTTGAGCAGAAGTTAGATCCTTTGTTTTGTCACTGGTATAAAGAGACAAATCCAAGGTCGAAATTCATGGCTAATTTAGAGCATAACACTATTCTGTCGTATTGTTTCAACTCCTGTAATGTTTATTTTATAAAAATCACTTAAAACATATAAACACAAAGAGCGCGCACACACATACAACATCAGTTGAAAATGGCTGGCTTTAAACACGAGAGAGTCGCTTATTAGGCACTTAGTTCACATAAGATGAGCTAAAGATAAATTCTTGGTTATATTGCTTCGCAGATCATTAAAAATACAGGAATTTGATGGTGGAAATTCATGTAAAAAATGCTATTGTATGCTTCACTCTATCTTTTGTCTACTATATCTGACACATTTTCCTGAATCATGAAGGCAGGAAGATAGTTAATGCTATTAAGAATAAACTAATTTAACTTTTGATTACAAATATTTAACCCTTACAATTTGATTTCTTTTGAAACATATTAGTAAAACAACATCAGCATGATACATCTCAAAAATTTGATATTATTTATTCATAAGATCATGGGACTGAAAAGTTTGCCACTACAACGAAATCCATTTAAAAAGTTAAATCAGAAAACAAAGTAAAAATGTAAACTCAAATTCCTAAAGGCGTAAAATCGAGTATAGTGTACAATGGCAAGGTTCAACAACCTAGCGTATTAGAAGTGCTAGCTCTCTAATGCAGGCAAAGGTTGTCAGTGACAACACTTACGACCTGCCTAAGATACAACTAGGATACCTAAACTACATTACATGGCTACAAAGTCACCATGATATCCAAGTACAAAACAACGCTACATATCATTTGCCACAACAATGCTTCATAACTACATTACTACAGGTACATTACTTTCTGAGATGGTAAGCTGAAAGTAGAGCGATTTTCACCATCCTTTTTCCCATCTCCTGATGAGAATCACCAAAGTTAATCCATAGTAATGCAGGCCCTGTTGTTAGGCAGAAAAAAGGTTCAGGGCAACATACAATAGCTATGTTAATATGCAAATTAGATGGTGGATACTTCAGATAGTATAACGTCAAAGAAAACAGAATTCAACTAGCTATGCATCATTAGTTCCAAAACAAAAAATTACCTATGCATCATTAAATCATTTATTAAGCATGTTTATAAATTTACAGAGTTTCTCAAACATAGCAAGACTCATTTATCAGGAACACTTGTCCAGTTGGCCTTGATCATTTTGCAACCCATGACTTGCAGAAAAGCAGCTTTTATGCTTGTCTACAACAGATATAGTACCAATCTCTTATTTCAAGTCTTTTACGCCAGTCTGCTTCTATTGTAAACATGTTTACTCTCAAGATACTGCAGAAGCTGAGCTAGGGTTTCTTGGACATTATATGAACATTTAGATAGTTGTAATGCATGTCACACCGTTAACTAGGCTTTGTTGTTTGCATAGAAATAACATTACTTTTATCATCCATTAATTGATCCATCCCTATTACTAATTCTACTACTCTGACATTCTATTTAGCAGTCTACAATACTCAGTAATATGAATAAGATGATCTATTTGATCATCAAATTGTATGTAATATACCATTTAATAGCACTATAGTTATTTTACCTTGAATATGAGGCATTTGTCTAGAGCGGAGAAGCAGACTTTGACCTAGATCAACAAGAGAAGGAAAGAAGTTTAAAAATAAAACAATAAAACAATGTTTTATTATAATATGCTGATTATCTAGGATCAAAAATGAAATATAGTACCTAGTTGGCTGTGCAGGGGATGCAGAACTAGATCTTGGAGCAGGTCTGATTACATATATAATCATGTCATTCTTTGTAGACACCAAAAAATGAACTTGATAAGCAATCAAGGGTGCCAAAACAGATCTGAATAGCCAAAATATCATTAGCATGTTACCTTGGGCTCTTTCCTACACTCTTGCTTCTATCTCGGATAGGGCTCCTGCTTCTACTTCTGCTTCTGCTCCTTTGTGGACTACCCTCATAAGCTTTTATCTGTCAAGTGGGTTTCAGAAGAGAATGAAAAAAATGAATAGTGTAAAGATTCAACTACGCCTTACAGAATTAAATCAGCTCCTATAGACAAACATCCTTCATGTCAGATTAACAAAAGGCACGTGCCTAAGTGGCTACACTTATGTTTTCTCCTTATCACATCAAGATCCACAATACATGTCCCAACCTCTCTAAGGGTAATGCAGGCATAGTAAAATGAAAGCAATAACAGTCAAAAGGACATACAGTCATTGGTTATAATTTTAACAAAGAGAATTCCCAAACCAATAGGCCAAAAACCAAGACAAGACATTTGCTATTGACAGTAATGTCTTTTTATGGCCTGATGGCAAATAAGTATATAAAAAATTAATCATTTAAATCTGTAATTACTACTATAGTAAAGGAAATTTACCCGAATGTAAGATTTTGAGAAAGGATTACGAAATTCAGTGTCATCTAGCTTCCGGATCTGTGTAAAATTTACCAGTGTTAAGATAAAATATCATTACTTTATTGACCATCAGAAATTCGGAGTACTCTTGATACTTACAGCATATTGCATGTCCTCGTAATTAGTGTAGTCAACCATTCCCATCATACCTGCAACAATATTATTATTTCACAAATGATAGTTATCAATGAAACCTACACCTCAACAAGCACTGATTATGGAATAATTGCTTGTTGAAGAACATAAGGATCAAATTACACATGATAGACTCATTAGAACAAATAATTTTTTTGACTGAAGCACACTTCATACAGACAGCAAATTTGAGCATAACTTTCAGAATTTGTGGAGAAAAACTTAAGCAGACTCAAAGCGAGCAAGAACATAACTACAGGTAATGTAATACCTGCCATTCACTCACCTTTAAATATAGCAAAGCCATTCACCCAAATACTGATCTTTTATTCTATAAATCTTTTCAGGTAGGTTAAGGAGGGTTTAAAATAATGTAAAGAGAAATAAAATAAAATAACGTATCATGCCTCAAGTCTAGACAGGAAATAAAATCATGATAAGATTTACACATTACATTTTACTCGGTGATCCATCATCAGTATATAGAAATTAAGATCAAGTTGTCAATTAGATAGAACTTCAGGGGTTACCCTAAATCTTTAAGAAAAAGACAACACTGAAGGATAAACTAGAAAAAGATATAGCATACCTTCACCATCACGGAAAACTTGGGCAAAGCAGACATCCCCAGCCTTACGCATATGGTCCTACAAGACAAAATAACAGTGAGAATCTTTGACACCAGAGCAATTAGACTTTGGTGGGGGAAAAAAAAAAAGGTCAATTTACACACCTTTAGATCCTGCCATGAAGCTGAAGGTGGCAGTCCACGCACAATTACTACATAAATAAGAACACGTATTAACAACCCACGCAGGAGAGAAATAAGTAGGGTTCAAAGATGTGGCAAACAAGTTTTTGGACAACACTAAACTTTACACTTGACCACATTACCAATGCTTTTTGATATCCTCACTAAAAGTCCAAGCTATGCTGCTATCACTTCTAACTATCACTTCTAAACAACCCCCCCAAATTCCCAAAAGAAAGTATAGAAAGCAAAAAAATAGTATCCAAATTATTTGGTGTACCTCGAAACTCAGAACGACGGGGAGCACCAAACTGCCCACCTCCACCCCCACCACCTGCACCTACACCACCACCACCACCACCACGTCGGCCAACAGGGGACCTGCCTCTACCTCCATGAGCCAACTCAACCTGAATAATGAACTACTTAAGCCTGAACATATTGAAAACGTAGCAGCAAGTAAAAGATGTATATTAGGTGGCATGTACCCTCAGAAGACAACCGTCAAAGTTATAGCCATCACGACCCCTAATTGCTTCTTGAGCATCCCTAGGATCCTCAAACTGTAAGAAAGAAACAAAAGAATAAGAAACTGCAGAATATCAAGCTAAGGATACATCTGGGATATTGATCTGAATGCAAACACTGGGCAGGCCTCCAATAGGCCAAGGTGTAAGCCCTTTATTGGTTCCTGACCCTGGCTGATCAGCTCAACGATGAATGTACGTGAAAATGAAGGGTATACCTCCACAAATGAATAGCCTGGAGGGCGTGGGGGAAGCTTCATTTCGATATCTACGATACGACCATACTGCAGTAAGAGGAAAACAAATCTTAAGAATTCAGTATATATTAAAAAAATATATATATATAAAATTAGAAAAAAAAAAAAAAAAAAAAAAAAGCAGATTGGTGCACATCAATGAAAAATACAGTATTTCTTAAAAGTAATAAAGTTTTGTTTGGGTTGGCACTGCACTTGACATGCTAGAATTTCATGCTATGAAGTACAATGAAGAGTAACAACTAATAAAATGAGATAACCACAATAGAATTTGCAAAATCTTGCACACATATGAACACAGATACAAAAGCCAAAAATAACCTGGCAGTGTCCCATTTTCCATGTGCAATATATAGAAACTAATTCAATGAGATTAATAATAGTCACTAGAAGAATAGACAACAGAGATCTACACAGCATCAAGGTTTATCATTGGGATAACTACTGATTTAGACATTTGACTAGGATAGGAGATGCTGCACTCATATCATTGCAGCAAGAGGTGCATTATCTCTCAGAATGTTAAACTTCATGCAAGAACTAGTCCATTATAACCTTTTTGGTTAATATGAGAATTATAAATCTCCGAACTAAAGGTTGTTGAATTTATATACAAAGATTACACTAGAAAAGTACCATAAGTTCAAAATATCTGAACATATTTAAGTTGAAGATGAAAACAGAACCTTGTAAAACAGATCTTCAAGCTCCCATTCCTTTACATCCAGGGGAAGATTGCCAACATAAATTGTGCGGGAGGCACGGCCAGCCATCACAGTAATGCGTCTATTTAGCAGCAATTTCTCTACATACAACATAAATGCTTATCAATGAGGGCATAAGAGGACATTAAACACCGATCAACTAAAAAAAAAAAGTTTCTTCATAAAGTAGCTTCAACAAAACAGCACAGAAAAGCAAAAGCCCAAACTGTGAAGCGGACCATGAGAGCAATTCTTGACGTGGTGCTACACAACTTTCACCATTTAATCTTCCAAAATGCTCCAGGATTAATATTAAATCATATAAAAAGGAAACCCCATCCTCTTCCTGATTTTTGCAGAGGCAAAGAAGACCATCTAAGCATGAGCAACAATCTCCATTACCAAGAAATCCAGAAAAGTACACAGAACTCTCCCTCTCTTTTCCTACATCCCTACATATCTTGCTCCTATTTGTCCAAGCTCTTTTCATCTATCATGAGGAAAGCTTGAGTCATCAAATGTGACAATACGGAGAATAGTTCATGCATTTATCATCAGTTATTAAATACTTCATTATCAACCACAGAGAAAAATGATGTATAGCTCCACGTCATTTTCTTGTGAATATTGTTTTGTGACCAGATGCAGATTTAGATCAGGAGGCAAACACCAAATACAGGGGACTCAAGATTCATAAGTTATTGTATACAGTTGATAGTAAATTCAATTTTGTAAGGTTTATGGTCATTTGCAATGTCACTTAGAAGTTAATGAATACCAGCATCAGCATAAGAATCAACCCAGTGCCTCTAAAGAGGCTCCTGTCCAAGGCAAAGTAAAGGGTCAGGTTAAACAGCCTTACCAAAGTAGTCAATGACCCATTAGCATAATGGTAAAATAGAATGTTAAAAATAGTTCTGGAGATGACTATAATTAATGTTGCTTAGACACAAGATAGAAAAGAAAAGAGTTGATGAAAGAAGAAGTTCAAAAAACCAACAAATAACCTTCAGCAATAGAGACACAATGTGCATTAGGAATTTTATACATTAAAAATAATGTGTGAATGTTAAGGTGCTTCAAACATAATTTGAATTGAGATTAATGATCCTTAATGAAATTCCAGTTTCTCATAAGCAAGCATGCTTTATCAAAGCTGCTTAAGTCTGAGCTTTATAGGGAATATGCATAACAATAGTGTATATTTTACCATAAACAAAGTAAAGGTGGAATTATTCTCATTAGCACAATTTAGAATCCAATAGCAGCAAAACCTTATTGTTGTCAGCTAACTAGCTAAGTGATGACTACAAGACATTCTTACAATGAGAGCATTAAAGTGTTCATGGGTAAGAGAATATCCTAAAGTAGCAAAAGCCCTAAAAATCTAAAATCCTAGCTTCCTAGTCTAGTCAGCTTAAAATTTGTGATCAACTCATGAACCTCGTCGATAAGTAACTAACAAATTGCATGTTGTATGATGACACTTTTTAATAAAAAAGCAAGCAATATCTAACACAACAAAGCTTATCTGCAACAGTACAATAAACGATAGCATGAAATTTGTATTCACAAAGTTGTCAAATGTCACCATCTTTTGTTGAAGATATCCATATCCACTAGCACACGAATAATAATAAATCGAAACTTTGAATTGGCTATAGCCATTGTCACCTTCAAAATGCTCCCAGGATTTGAGCCCATACCCCAACTCAACAGTAATACTCTAATGCATATGAAGTGCAAAAAAATATATATGTAGCAAACAAACAATTCCAAACCACAAAATAAAATGAAAAAATGGATAAAAAGTACAATCCATCCAAAAACTACCTTAAAATTGAACGAACAAGCCAATGTCGGATCTATAAATCAACTCATTTCTGGGAAATTAATCCTTTAAACAGGAATATCGTTGACTGCTTAGTAACTTAATCAAAACAAAGGCCTACAAACTCAACATTCCACGCATTTACCAATTCAATTTCTGGGTAAAATTACTACTACAACCAAATTCAAAACCCATATGAACAACTTCAAATTCTTCCCGAGTTTAAACATATACAGACATACAGTTAACGCTAATCTGTAAACCCCAGAAATTAAAAATCAAGAATCACCCACCATTGCACTGATATAACCAAGACTAAATACTGGCAATAAACAAAAAATAACTCACAAATTTAAACTTCAATTAAGATAAACAACTACAAAAACAAAATAAATAACAAATAAAAAGATCTGGGTGATGAAATTACTTGTTAATGAGGTAAAAAGCGAAGTTGAAAAATCAGCTGAGTATGCAAAATCTTCGTCTTGTTCAAGTGTTCTGGGTATTGCAGCTTAAAGCAGAACAGAGAGAATAGAGGTTTAAAGAAAAAGGGAAAAAGGCCAGGTAAAATCTTCAGTCTATTGTGTACCCTAAAACTAGGGGTGGGACTTTTCAAACCGAACCGTGAAACCGCCCGTAACCGAACCGAACCATCACGGACCGATCCGTTTATAAACCGATAAATATAAACCGAAAACCGAACTGAACCGTTCAATATCAAACTGAAACCGAATTGAACCGCTCAATGTCAACCCGTTACGGACCGTAAACCGATAACAAACCAAACTGCGCAAATCCGAACCGAAACGAAACCGAACCGAATGGTTTATAAACCCGTTAATGAACCGAACCGTTTATAAACCGAAACCGTTTAAACCGAAAAAAAACCGTTTAAACCGAACCATTTGTAACCCGCTAACCGTTTAAACCGACCCGTTTATGAACCGAAACCGTTTAAACCGCACGTATAAACCGAACCGTTATAATCCGCTAACCGTCTAAACTGAACTGCCATAACCCGTTAAACCGTTAAAATCGAACTGTTTTCGAATCGCAACCTGTTTAAACTGATCCGATTACAAACTGCTTAACTCAAATTGAATTATTTACAACCTAAATGGCTAAATAGTAAATACAATTAATGTTAATAAATGTAGATCTAATCAAACGGCTTAGGTTTATACAAAGGTTTATATCACCTAAATCTAGGCCAACGACATTATTAATATCGTTTTAGATTACTTATTTATTTTAATTACAAGATATATCATTTGTATCATTTTCATTCCAGTAATAATGCTAGTCCACCCAAATTATCTTCATTGTTCCTTGATGTTCATGATCATCCAATAACTCTCAAAGCCTCAAAGGTAACATAAGATTGGAGATGTATGAGATTGCGTTACACAAGTGGCATAAGCATTAGAATATTACTATACTAGTCAATAAGGCGTACAATCATTCACATTATCACTTTATAAAACTTTCTTATACAAGTATTTTGTAAAGGGGAGGACTAAAATGTTTATAAAACACATTTTTTTAGTTTTTCTTATATTAAACCAGATATTAAGTAAAAGAATTTTAATAAATACGGAGGCATCCCAAATCTGTAGCCACAATTATTTCATAACATTACCACAAATCCAGCAGATAAATAGCATTGAAATTAGAGTAATATCAACAAGCAATTAAAAAAAGTCACCATTTTCATTGATTAAAATTCCCAAATTCACAATACATATACCAATACATAATGAAACTACTATCACTACTACCCAGATTAGATTTCAGATTTATCAACTGAAACATCATCAAGTTTAGGGTTGCAAAAAATGATACATTATAAGATGAAGGGAGGAGTGAGAATGTGAGTGATTTGGGAGCAGAATCTTGAAGCAGAATCTTGAAGCAGCAGCACAGCACCCAAGAGCAGAGGAAATAGCAGCAACAAGCAGGAACCAGCACACGGAATAACAGATCAGCAACTTATCAGAAGCAAGGAATAATATAAGCAGAAGAGACTCAGCAGGAACTTATTTTTGTTTTTCAAAATTGCTCTCAGATTTACGTTTATCGTATCATCACTGAGCAATGGCTGTTTTAACTTAAAACTTGAAAAATGCTGCCAGCAAGTACATATACATTGAAGTCTCAACATAAATGACAAGGGCAACGATGATTCAAGAAAAATTAAAACAGCAAGCATAAGAAACAGCAGCAACAAAACTTATCATAAATTCATAACACAAAAGGCAGCAACACAGCACCTCAAGCTGGCAGGAGGCAGGAACCAGCTCATGTAAGCAACAATATAGGCAATAACAACTCAGCAGAGACAACAACCAAAAGGCAAAAGCACTACCAGCAGGCAGCAGCTCATAACAAGTTCAAGCAACTTCAAAATTATAGCTTTTGTTTTTTTAAAATTGCTCTCAGATTTACATCACTGAGCAATGGTTGTTTTAACAAAAACTTAAGAAATGCTGCCAGCAAGTACCAAAATACATTTAACTATTTAAGTCTCAACATAAATGACAAGGGCAACGATTTTAAAAGTCTTGAAAAATGCTGCCAGCAAGTCTGAAAATAAATGACAAGGGCAACGATTTTAAAAGTCTTGAAAAATGTTGCCAGCAAGTCTGAAAATAAATGACAAGGGCAACGATTTTTCAAGATAAAATAAACCACAATGAGACACAAATACCAGTTATGCAGATGAAGCACTTTCGGCTTCAATCTCTTTACCAATAAGGAGGACGTCTTCCTCAACATCCGCTTGATAACCACGGCACCAATTTTGGGTGGTAACCAATGCCTCAACATTCTTTGGCAAAAGTTTACCCCTATATCCTCAAAAAGAAAAAAGCATACATAAGAAAAGCTTAAACTTTTTCAAAAGTTTCCAATGAAATTATGAACCTATAAATAAACATGAGATGTTTATTTTACTAGCCCTAAACTAGCATTTATTTTATGCACATAACTGCAGAAAGTGACACAATTTGGTCTTTTGTTAGGTAAAAAAGCCAATAACCACATAATCTGAACAACCCATCATCATTACTTTTAAATCGAGCATAATAAACAACAAAACAGCACAAATCTACCATTTTCCCGTAAAAAACAAAAATACAATCAACAACAGATTTTAGGCATATTTCGACTATATTCAAGCAAGAACAACAACAATAATCAAATACAAAAACAGAAAAACTGTATTAAAAAAAACGAAAAGGAAAAAGTAATTACCTTTGATGGCTTGAAGGAGATTTGAAGATGGAGAACTGCCTGAACTGGAGATCAAAAGAAAAAATCAAGAATGTAGATTATCAGAACTTGAAATAAAAAAAAAACCGAAACGAAAACGAAAAAAATCGAAAAAATTAACAAAAAAATTACCTTGAGGTTTGACGGCTTGAAGGAGAGGAAGATTTGAAAAAAAAAAAAAAAAAAAAACGAGAATGGAAAAGTTAGAAATCAGAACTTTGGATCCAAAACAAAAATGAAACGAAAACAAAAACCCTAAATAAAAAAAGTAAAAAATCGAAACGAAAACGAAAAAAATCAAAACGAAAACAACAAAAATTAACAAATAATTACCTTGAGGTTTGACGGCTTGAAGGAGAGGAAGATTTGGAAAAAAAAAAACGAGAATGGAAAAGTCAGAAATCAGAACTTAGATCCAAAACAAAAATGAAACGAAAACAAAAACCCTAAATAAACAAACCGAAACAAAAACGAAAAAAATCAAAACGAAAACAACAAAAATTAACAAAAAAATACCTTGAGTTTTGAACTTTTGACGGCTTGAAGCCTTCAAATTGAAGGAGAGGAAGATTTGAAAAAACAAAAAAACGAGAATGTAAAGCGAGAAATCAGAAATGTAGATCCAAAACACAAATGAAACGAAAACAAAAACCCTAATTAGGATTTTTAAAAGTTGAGAAGTTGAGCTTGAGATTCTTGAAAATTTCAGAACGAAAAGTGAGAAACTGAGAAGTTAGAGAGAGAAACTATGAGTGAGTAAAACGGCTGAATGGCTGATAGAGTGGTTTTTTTTTCTAGGTTTAGGTTTTACTTGTTCAGTTGATCTAACCGTCCATATTCAATCTCAACATCTAACCGTTCATTTTTTTTTTGTAGATTCCAGAATATTCATCTAGATCTAACGGTCTAGATTTTTCTTTGTGCTTTTCTAGGTCTTTTTGACCGTTTTTTTTAATTATTTATTATTATTATTATTTTGAGGGATTATTATTATTATTATTATTGTTAGTATAATTATTTGTTAATATTATTATTATTACTAGTTTACTACTACTATTATTATAGTATTATTATAATTATTATTATTATTTATTATTATTATTATTATTACTATTATTATTATTAGTTTATTACTTATAAGTTATAAATTGTAAGAAACGCAAATGTTTCAAAATTGAAATTGATTCAATACGACATAGTTAATGACTTAATGAGTTAATGCACATCAATATCTGACATCTCTATATGTATATTATATGTATCTGTGAGTCTGTGACTGTATATCAGTATATATATATAATAAACTAATAATAACTTAATAAGTAATACTAATAACTAATAAAGTAATGAAAATCTAACCATTGTTTTTCATGGCATTCAATCTAACCGTTGTATATTTGACTATTCGTACATTAGTATTGCATAATGATTTCATCACCGCTTTAATTAGTGATTTCGTGATTTCGTCCATTTAACTTATTAAGTTGTTTGAGTTAATAATCTAAATAAAGTAACAAACTAAATAACGAATCCATTTAATCTCGTGTAAGTTATAATTTATAAGAAATGCAATGTTTGGAAATGGAAATTGATTCAATACGATATTGTTAATGTATATGTAATTATAGATTAATTATTATGTATATCATATCGTACGAATGTACGGTTGGTATCATTATCATACTATCATAAGTATCATTGCCTCATTGAATTATTGGTATGTACTACAATCGATAAACATATTTACATATCTGATCATTAAAACTTAAAAGTTTAAAACACTTGTTGATCAATCTAATTGAATACTTGTACATTCTTAATTATCGATTTATCGTATTATAAGTATCAACTCATTAAATCATGGTCATGACGCGATCTTTAAAACAATCATGAATTCATGACCCAAACCGCTTATAAACCGAACCGACATGATCCAAACCGTTCATAAACCGAACCAATTGAACTGTGTAAACCCTCCACTAAACCGGCCCATTTCAAACTGAACCGACATGATTCGCACCGTTTATAAACCGAACCGATATTGACCCGGGTAAACCCGCCCCTAAACCGACCCATTTCAAACCAAACCGGCTTGATCCAAACCGTTTGTAAACCGAACTGACATTGACCCGGGTAAACCCGCCCCCTTAACCGACCCGTATCAAACCGAACCAACATAATCCGAATCGTTTATAAACCGACCCGCTTATGACCCAAACCGAATTTAAACCGCAAAGAAATAAACCGAAACCAAACCGAGCCGTGACTAACCCAAACCGAACCAAACCGACCTGCCAGCTAAACTAAACCGTTTCAATCCGAACCGCTTCAAACCGAAACCGACTCAAACCGAGGTCAAACCGAACCGTCAGACCGAAGTCCCACCCCTACCTAAAACTGAAAAATGAAAATGAAATTAAATCGTGCGACACATAATTAATGAAAAGATGATAAATTTATTATTTTCAAAAAAAAAAAAAAAAAATGGGGATTGGATACTTTGGTGGAGGTTTGAAGTTAAGTAGTGATGAAACGTGGCAATAGCCAATAAGCTGTTGGTTTTAGTAAGAGCATCTGTAAGGGTGAACATTTTAATAGTTCACAATGAGTGAACAAATAAGGTGGTGGCTTAATGGCAAACTCTTTAATTGTTCATGTTGAGTGGTCATGGGTTCGATTGCAGAAGCAAGCACTTGCATGAATTAATTCGCTGTGGGCCCCACCAATATTTTGGACTGATATTCATGCAAAACGACGTTGTTTTGCTGTTTCATGTTGCAAAACGACGTCGTTTTGCTGTTAAAGGTCAGAAAAAAAAATATAGAAATCAGCGGCTGGGAGCGCGCCACTTGGCCCAGCCGCTGCTTGACACGTGTGTACTGTTTTAAATATATCCGTTGTAATTTTACAACGGATATATTTTACAGAATACAAATCAAAAAAAAAAAAATTACCAACGACTCTATTTTTTTCCCCTCTATAAATAGACACCCATATTGATATACTTTTTTCAACTTTGAAAATTCATTTTTTTCTACTATATTTTTCTCTTCAAAAATCCCCTCTATAATTACCAATATTATTATTATTATTTATACCAATATTAATATTAATATTGTTATTATTATTTTTAATTATTATCATTAATATTATTATTATCGTTACTATTATTTTTATTATTATCGTTATTATTATTATTATTTTTATTATTATCGTTATTATTATTATTATTATTATTATTATTATCGTTTTTATTATTATTATTATTATTATTATTATTATCGTTATTATTATTATTATTATCGTTATTATTATTTTTATTATTATTGTTATTATTATTACTATTATTATTATTATTAAATTTTTATTTTTTCCAAATATAAATTATAATTATGGATGCTAATACCAACCCCAAAACAAATAGAAAGAATAAAAAAAATTTGGGTCAAAATATGATCCCGAATCAAGCCAATTTTCCTCCAATTCACCCAAATTTTTCACAAACACCCACAAATATTCCCCATAATTTTTCTGGAGTTTATCCTCAAATACCCCAGTCAAGTTTCCCAAATAGTCCACAAACTCGTCAGGATCGTTTATTCGCAAAACACCAGGAAGCTGCAAGGAAAGACGTTGAACGCGCATTTGGGGTCCTTCAAGCTCGTTTTGCCATTATTAAAAAGCCGTCTTTGGCGTGGGATACCGACATACTCCACAATATCATGCTCGCCTGCATCATAATACATAATATGATCGTTGAAGATGAACGAGAGACGTATCAAAATAACGTTAATACCAATGAGTTTATGAATGCTGGAGGCAACGCTAATGAGGACACTACCGAGTACCAAACTGATCGTATTGTGGATATCGGCTTATACTTGTCTCGTAGAACAGAGATTGAGGATCAACAGACTCATTTGCAGCTAAAAAACGACTTGGTCGAACATATATGGAATAAATTTGGTAACAACGAAAACTTAGGCAACTAGGTTTACAACAAATGGTTATCCCTAAGGACATCTTACAAAACGATGTGTAGTTGTTTTTTTTTTTAAATAAAATGTACTAGATTATAGTTGTAGAACTGTAATCACGATTTGTACCTCTTTTTTTTTGTTAATTAAAATTAGCTGCGTTGTTGTTTAAAAAATATTAATCACAAGAATTAGTTTTTTAAAAAGCTGATAAAAAAATGCGATAATTTCTTAATTAGTAATCACGATTAAAATATTAAATACGTCAATTAATTACATTGACATCGGGTTAATAAATTATAATTATGAAATAAAAAAGATTATATTTACAAAAATAAAATAAGGTGGGGTAGGGAGTATTGATGATGAACCATTGTTTAGTGTTCATTGTTAAGAGTGAATATTGTAAATGGTTTGTTGGGTTGATGTGGATGAGAGAGAAATGGTGATAGTGACCCATGAACCATTTTTTTGTGTTCACCAATAATGATGCTCTAAATGAGAGGAACTTCAATACTTTTGGAATTCTACTCGTTGCTTTATGTCTCGAGATGGGAGTTTTTTTTTTTTTGGTTTTTCAAACTTGACCGTGGGGTTAAAGTGTTAGACTGTTAGAGGTCTTAACGTTTGAAGAAGACTTCGACTGTATTACTTGTAGTCGGGAGGGGAAAGACTACACATACAATGGTTGTATGTGGACCCTCCACATACAACTATTGTTGGGTGCATTTGATTGGTTTGTATTTTTATGTTCACTTTTTCCATTTAGTTTCTTCCTATTTTTTATTCTTATTTTTCCCTCCCTTTTGATAATTTGATGTGGCATGCATATAATGGTATTGTATGTGGGCTACTACATACAACCATTGTATGTGTAGCATCACTCGGAAGGGAGTGCTAATGTAGTGTTATGAATTTGAATAGTTATAACAAAGTACGGAGTACTAAAATACTAGAAGTCACATGAAAAGGAGAGAAAGGAAGAAAGAGAAAGATGTGTGGGACCACTTCTAATTGCGGCTATTTCACCAAATGCTATTGAGCACTTTGGAAATTCACCAAATGACATCCAACTTTTTAAAATTCACCAAATGTCACTCACAAACAATTTAATGACATGACGTGCCATTAATGAGGTTTGGACGTTAACAGTCCATTATTGCGAAATGACCAGTATGCCCTGTGTTGGGGTTAATAATGGCGCGTTAAACCTCATTGACTCTCTGACTTCTTCAAGTTTGATATAAAAAAAAGTCATCTCATACTTCTTCTCTGTTCTTCGAGCTTTCACCATTATTCAAACCCTGAAATCCATAATCAAACAAGAAGCTTTCTTCGACACCTGAACCAAACATTCCTAAAAATTGAAGCTTTTTTTGCTATTGAAGTTGGGCGAACCAGAACAGCGCTGACAAGTAGAGGAGGAAGTTGAAGCTAAAAACACTTGAATTTGACTTTGGGGTGTTGGAGATAGCAAACAAGGTAATATTCTCACTTTCGATCTTGTTTTCGCGTTTTGAATTTGACATTTTTTGCGAGAATTGAGTTAGGGTTAAGGTTTTTTGAAATGTTCATGTTAAATGTGATTACTTGACTTGACTGTGTGAAATAATCTTAAATTTCAAGTTAAAAATGTTATTTGTTGTGTAATTGATTTGGTATTGTTATGGTTTTTGATTGTGAAGTCTTTAAATTACATTTTTTTTGCGATTTTTGTATTGGCATTGTTGGTAATGATTTGGTCTGTTATGATGTGTGGTGTGTTGATATGAATCTTGTGTGTTGTTGTTCAGTGAAGTAATATGTCTGTAATTTTTTGTTGATAGGATGAGTAGAGTGTGGCTTGATGTTCATTACAGAGATCAGGGGTTTGATGTCCTGGTTGATGATACTGACATAACAAGTCTAATGGACTTGTATGAGTTTATGTTTGAGGACTCTGTGTAAGAAAAATGTGATCCTTCCTAAATACTACTTTAGTTTGTATGTAATGCCACCTAGGACTAATAGGAAGTTGGAGTTGTGTGGGGATAGGGACATGTTGAGAATGTGGGATTGGTTTCAAGGTAAGGAAACAGTAGTAGGGGTGTAAATGAGCCGATATGTCTGTGAACTACTCGCGAACAAGCTCGGTCAAAACCCGTTTGTTAAGCTAACAAACAAGCTTGAACAAAAATCTTAAGCTCGTCAAATAGGTGAACAAAGCTCGAATAACATCATGTTCGACTCAGTGATGTTCATGAACAACTCGTTTAAGTCAATTTATAAGTTTTTCCACGCCCAATTAAAATTCAAAAATTTATATATCTTTTATTTATACATATTTGTAAAAAGTATTAATTATTTCATTATGTAAAAGCATGAAAACTCCGTCATTACCTTATTCTATAGAAAGAATATAAAAATCTTTATAAAATTATTAAATGGATGTGTTAAAATTTGAAAGAAACCATTTTTTAATGATAAATAAATTAAGGCTCGTTTATTTAATCAATCCCGATTTAGACCCGTTCAAGCTCGAAATGCAAACGAGTACGTTCGTGAACAAAGCTTGAACAAGCCAAATTCTTAACGAGCCTAGCTAGCTCGAACAAGATTTTAAAAAGCTCGTTCAAGCTCGAGATAGTTCGAACACGAATGTTCCTTATCAAGCTTAGCTCGAACAGACTAAAACTCGGCTCGGCCCGGATTGTTTGCAGCCCTAAACAGTAGTAATTTTTTTTAGAGGAGAAAGAAAGTTCTGGGCAGGTGTTTAAGGATGCTCTGGCTAATTGGGATAAAAAGGTAAAGGCCTTGGCTGAGAAGGCTAGATTAGAACAGGAAAAGGCCCAGGAGTTAGGAGGGACATGAACATTATAGTACACAAACCCATGCACAACAACTTCCCTCAAATAACTCACATCTATCCTATCATGTACCACATCCCTCCTCCAATAACACAATCCACCACACCAGCAAAACAAATGTTTTGTTTGTGACACCCTTTTGGGAACAAAAGCACCCCCAACTCTGAACTTTATATTAATTAAACCATCTTGGTTGTTGGCCATTTATCTACTCAATAAACATATGCAGAAGAAGTCAAAATAAGCCATCATCTATTGACCCAATTACACAGTCAATTTTACTACTTTAATCAATAAAACCAAACATATTTTACCAACTAAACAAACTTCAGTCAACAAAACCAAGGACAAAAGAGTGAACATACATGTCAACAAAATCAATGAATCACAGTCGTAAACAATAAACTAATTGCACTAATGCATAGTTTAATTAAGCAAATTCTATTTTAATTAGAAAATCGCACAGTACACTAAGTAATTCACACCCAATTTCACTTTATTATTTAGGGTTCCCAATTTTTTTCCCAAAATACCCCAGAATACTAATGAAAATAGCATAATTAACTTCAAAAGATGCTTAAAATAACTTTAAAAGATTCAAAAGGTACCTCTTTTAATTTGGAATCTTGCTGCTATTTCTATCAGATTCCACGAAGAAATCCAAGCTTTTTTGTTGTTGATAATGGTTGACGCCCACTCGCTGACTTGTTTCGCTCCACTTCCGACACCTCCCTATGCAACTCAAATTCACTACCACACAATTCAAATATTATATTAGAGTTGATGATGTATATGTAGATTTCGCTTAAATTTGACATTATATTGGTTAGAGATAATTATTGTATTTTATAAAAGTTTATTAATATTTATGGTCTTCACATTAAAAAAAAAAATTGGGGTACATGTGGTGGCATTATAGGAATTTGCTAATTATTTTTTTTTAAAAAAAACACACAATTCGTAACTAGCGTTAGGCCACACCAGTTACAAGTAATACTCTATTTGTAACCGACATAACTTAATGCCAGTTACAAATAGTATGCTTTCTAACTTGGAAAATAGACTATTTGTAACTGGCGTTAGGATAAGCCAGTTACAAATAGTATATTATTTGTAACTAACATTAGCCGGTTACGAATAATTTTCATTAGTTGTAACGGCGGCATTCGCAACCAACAATGCCAGTTACAAAAAGTAAATTTCGCCAGTTACAAATAGCAGTTTTTCTACTAGTAATTGTTAGGGTTTAATTCTTGATAAGTAGTTGAAGGTATAAAGAGAGAATTGATTGAATGAAGGAGGAGTAGTTGGGTATTGAATGAAGAAGAGAGAGAATCGAATTGAAGAGGATGAAAATTGGATGGTAAATTGTTATGTGGGCCCTTTTCAAATTTTCCGTCACAATTTCCGTTATCTGGTGGTGAAACCAACATTTAATTTTTTTCAGTGGTGTTATAATATAAATTTGAAAATTTCTGGAGTTAAAAACAAAATTTTGTGATTTTGTAGGTGTTATTTTCTAAAATTTCCTAATAATTATTACGTGTTAATATGAAATATGTACAAAAAAATATATATATGATTTTTGTAAATGATTTGCTTATGAAATTAAAATATTTTTTTTTTTAAAAAGAAAAAAATAACTAAGGACACACCAGGAGATGACACGTGTCATCGCTGGTGTGTCTTTTAGTATATACTATTGATTGATGATTGATTTCGCCTAAAATATTCATGATCATATTTCAAATTATATATTTTTCAATTAAAAATTTTAATTGACAACCATTAAATGCGAAATGTTTACCAAAAAAAAAAAATCATAAAACGTATACTTTTAAAGTTTCAAGTATAGTTTTACTCTAATCTATATATATCTTATAATATCATATCACTGATATATAAAGTCTGTCTCGCAACCAGACTACGTGTAACGCCCCGTATTTTCGAACCATTACTTTATGTGTGTTTCAACCTATAAAGCCTAATTTCAAATTTTAATCTCAATTTCTAAATTTGAAATGTTAATTTAATTATTAAGACTGTTCTTTGTTTTAAAGGCCATCCCAACCTTTTTAGACTCTAATTATAGTATTTTGACAGAACGTCTGAAAGTTATTATTTAAAAAGGTTCTATAATTGAGTTTTAATCATTTCAAATTGTATTTG